TGCCCACAAGCTTGGCTGAGACTGGGGCAGGGCCACGGGGTTTAGACCCCACAAAAAAAGGGGCGCGGCTGTAGTTGGACTGCGCCTGGACACGAAAGCCAGACTGCAAGAAGGCGCGGCTGCTTGCGGGGCTGCCGGACGTGCTGCTGCCGGTGCGCAGCGTAAAGTACTGGAACTGCGTGGCGTCATGTTGTTGGCGGACCGAACGTCCTGCACGGCCGCGTCCTTGCTGCCCTGCTAAGGCCGGAAGAGCGCAGCGGCAACGGCGGGGCTGGCCGTGGGCCTTGCAGGCGGCGCAGCTACGGCCTTGCGCGCGCCGACTTCTGCCGCGCCAGCACGTTCCAGCAACCTTGCCCGCGGGAATGCCAGGCGCGGCCAGTCCCTCAGGTACCCAAAGGCAGACCCTTTTTGTTCACCCCTAAGACTTTCTTCCCAAAGGATAAAGTCCAGAAACTCGGAAAGAACAAGCTGCTGATTGAAAATCACCCACCACTGCGGAGGCAATCTGGGCGACCCCAATGCTTTCAGCAGTTGCTAGGATGCTACACGCGTAATCGTCCTTTGGTGCAAGCGGGAACCCCTTCTTGGAGCCTGTTTAGGACCCCCTGAAACTTTGATATTGCTCCAAAACCCGAAAAAGGGATCTCCAGGTAAGGAACCTTCATGGCGGTGAGCTCCGTTCGATTTACAGGGTTGGTGAGCTTGCAATGGGCAGACAAATTCCACCCAAGTTCTTCCAGTAGCTCACCCGGTACTTGCCACTAGACAAGGCCCATTGTCCCCTTTGCCTAAATCTGCTCTGCAGAGGTAACTGGACAGAAAAGCAGGAGCCCCTTGACTCAAATGATAGGCACGACGAACTGTTTAACAACTAGGTTGGTTGTTTCGTCGGTGTGTGGCCAGCGCTTATTAGTGGGGCGTTAAGATATGTCCGCTTCTGCATGTCTCCAGCCCACCCCATCTCGTCTCGTGAAACAACCAGAATCCAGGATGCCCAAGTTGTAGTAATAGCTGGTGAAAATCGCTTGGGGCATCCACATTGCTTCCTAACTCTTTATGAAGCGTTGAAAAAAGTATCGGCTTCCCTTCCAAGCAAGCGGTTCAGAACACTTCCTACTAACATAGCATCTGTGGGAGTCGGGAGGGCACCTGGAAGGTTAATTTCGCTTGAAGGGAGCCACTGTCAGGTGCCATGTGTGGGAGGGAGGGTACTTTCCAGTGCACCGTCCCCTTCGCTTGCTGGTGCATGAAATTCAAACAAGGAAACATGGCCTTGCCCACTTTGGGTTGGTTGCTTTTAGACCCCCCGCGCCCCCCCAAACCCCAAAACCCGGAAACTCTTTGTTGGTTGTCTTTTCGCAATTTGAGCTCCCCGCCCCAAACAAGGAAACCTTGTCGGTTGATTCTAGGGAAACCTGTCTGACCTATCCATCCCAAACAGAAAAATGGCTGCCTTGGTTCAACCCGCCCCCTTCCCCAAAGAAAAGTTGGTTCGACCCGCAACCCCAAAAAAGGAAGACACCATGAGGCCTGAGGCCCAGTAAGAGGGGCATGAAGTAAGTGGGTAGGAATCAGTTACAACACTCTACGGGGACTTACAGCCATGGTAAAAGGGTTACAACTAACCATTTCTAGCCTGTCTAGGTCTCACTTTTCGAGTGGATTGACAACACAAAGTACTGAGTTCTGAAGCAGCTACCCTACCCTTAAGCAGTCGCTGGGCAGGTTGCTTCGCTTCGCTTGTTGAGGGCCCGGGCTCATGATCACTTCCTCTGGCGCGGAGGTCTTTGCCTGGACCATGCTGAGGCGCTGGGGGAGCCGTTACCGAGTTGCCGGGCAAATCCAGAAGCTGGGGTTACGGGTTTGCTTCAACCCCTGGTGCTTCAACAGCAAGGGACCCTTTGCTGGAATTCATTCGGGGGATAATTTTGAAGGGATTCTCGTCACCCATCCTGCTCTTTTGAAGCCACCCATTCGTTTATCAGGGTTCTACCTAATTGAAGAGAAGTACAGCTATTCAACGCCCCACCAAAGCCACAGGTACCCTGAGAAACAAGTCTGGTGGGATGGCTCATTTGGCAGCCCCCTTTTGAGACAGTCCTCCCCCGGTAGACTACCATTGCCAGTGACTCACATGGAATTGTTGGAACATGGGGACCATGCCCACTGAAAAATTCCATCTCCACCGTCTCCACCATTTACCGTTGTTCAGTGGTTGTACGTCGTTGGGGAACCACACATAAAACGTAAGAAAGAAACATATACATGAAATTCCAGGGGATGATTTCTTGCTCCACCCAGGCGGGGTCAAAATGACCCTCCAAATTGTGGGGCTCCTACCCCCAAACTATGTTTGAGAACCCTTCAAAAAACCAACTTAGGGCACGCCAGCCCACCCTTGCTTGATGGCCAGCAGCCCCTGCGCAAAAGTTTACCTTTTCGCAGGTTAATGAAAAAAATGGTATTCTTCCCCGAAAGGCTAAAGGTTAAAGATCCAACCCAATAGCATTCAAGAACTCATCCTGGGGACCAAACCATTCGGTTGTTTTCAAGAAAACCTGCAAGGAAGCCCATCATATTGGGTCAACCCCAGAACATGCGCCGCAGCTCCTCCACCCTCCCTCTCCGTTTCACGTGACGCTCGCCTGGGCCTTGGGTGCCACGTCCAAGGCGTCGCCCTGCTCGCTCGGGCGGCTGCAAAGCTGCCTGCGTCCGGCCGGCGCGGAGCCGGAGCTCCAGTTGCTTCTTGGCTTGCTAAGCTGGTTGGACCTCCAGTTGATTCACAAACTCCTGGCAGATTCAGAAGAGTGTGCTCAAACTGGCGCGTTCAGCGACAAGAGATACAGGGTCCCCTATTTTCAGAACCTCGAATCAAAGGGCACGGGCCTACCTCTGGAGTTAATATGGCGCCCCCGAACCGGACAGGGATTGGCTGTGCGGTCCATGGGTTTGCAGCAAAAATTCACCATCTGCCGCATGACTGTGTCGAAGTCCCCGGAACTGTGCCCCAGGGAAATCCTTGGAGGTGGGAACTCTCGGATGAAAGGCTGCCACATAGAGTCGGGTGAAAGCAGATGGCACGATTTCTTCATGTTGGTTTAGTCGTCCCCTTTACTGACCGTAAAGGGAATGCTGTCATCTACTGTCACCCAGCTAACATAAGGAGCATAGTTCGATTCCCCGTTCTTTTCAACCATTGTCTCTTGCAAAACCCAGCCGTTTCCTCAGTTGCTTTTGGTCTTCTGTGCAAAGGTTCGGATCCCTGCAAAGAATGGGGAAGTTCTCCCCCGGAATAAAGTAGTCAAGAAAACTATGCATGGTACCAAGGGGACCGTCCTCAGCTGCCAGGGTTGTTCCATGGTGTCCTTTTGGTTTTTGTTTGGGGGGGAGGGACCTCATGCGGTTGGCTAAACTGCAAAGCAACAGGACAGTTCATCATGAGTGAGCTCGTTCCCCCCACCCCCCCCACCCGATCAGTGAGCTCATTACAATTTGCCCCAATTGGATAAACCACTGGGTGATTAACTCCCTTCTCATTGAGTGAGTTGGCCCAAGAAAGTTCAGCTTGTGTTTGCCACCATGGTCTCAGAAAAAGCAACCAGCAACTTGAAGGAGTTGGTGCTTGATGGAAGAAGTTGTACGTTCTGAGTGAAAACCATTGGGACATGTTCTGGTGATTTCGTGAGGTGTCAAATTGCGGGAGATTCTTCGCTTTGCCAACTGAAGCCGCCGGAGGAAAGACAAATGCGAACCCAGGATGGGTCCCGGGCTTGCAGAGCTGACCGCCCATCGCTGACCTGCTCGAGAATTTCAAGGCAGAGATGGTGAGAGTACCCGTCTCGCCTTAAAAGGAAACCACAAAGAAAACCCCACCCTTTCTGGGGTTTCGAATCCCTGCTTGGCACATACTCAAATCTACCATAGGAGCCCAGAACCTCTAAAGTTGCCGAATTGATGTGCTTTCCCCAGAGCCACATTCGACCATTTGTTTGCAGGTAGCCTTTCCAGAAAACCACCGATCACCGAAGCCCAAAAGAATGGCTGGTTTCAATTGAGACCAATGGCGGCAAAGAATGGGCCCGCCCCTCACCCGCCTTTGCCAGCATTTTGTCTGAAAGAGTCAGCTCGCAAGGAAGACAACTGCTCTTCCGAAAGCCCAAGCAAATCATCAAAGACGACACTTAGAATCCTCCTTGCAGCCATGAAGCTCGCAAACATGCTTGAAATCGGAAAGTGTCCTTGGCTAGTTCCCTGTTGCTATGCCTCCTGCCCAACAAAAAGTGCATAACCTGTTGTGGGCAAAACATGTCTTTCGAAACGAATTTAAAAGGCTAAAGGCCCAACTCAGTTGCACAGCGGGCGGCGGGGCACGCCTGTCTCAGCAAAGGCGGGGACCGCGAACAGAGCTTGAGCCAAGCTGGCAGAGCATGGTCTGGGGGTCTAGTGGTGAACCTTGGAGCAGTTGGTTCCTTTGACTTGCTAGTCAGGCTTTTGCAAGTTGCAAGGAATCAAGGGCCGGAAAATCGCCTTCTACGCTGTGATCTTCGCAAACTAGCTCGCATGGCTTTCCACTGAAAGGTACATCCTTAGGCATACAGCACATTAGCCCTGACCAACTTGGCGTACACTCAGGGTTGCCTTTTGCTCCCAGGCTTTGAATCAATCCACAACAGACCACGAACCAACAGTCGGGATCAGCCAGGTCATTTGCACGGCCACACAACTCGCTGCATGGATGATATACATAGTCAAAGCAAACAAAGATAGCTACATGTTCTTTGCAGCCAAACACAGCATTCCCAAAGAAAGAAAGAAAATAGGCAAGGCTTAGTCGACCATCCTTGAATCTATCCTTCTTCACAGCGCAAACATGTCTTTTAAACCAGCTTGTGAAGGGCACTGCTCCTTTGATTCTTTCTGGGTGTGAGGGCCTCGTTTCAGACTCCCACGCTGGCCCATGCGACGGGTGAAAAGATGGTCATGACGTGCTCTGAGGGCACCGAATCAGGTAGGACTCGCTGAAGACCTTGATCTCCTCACGCACCCGCCCGGTCAACGTCGACCCTGGATTATAGAGAGTAACAGTCAGCCAGTGCAGCCAGCACACCCAACCAACCGCTAGAGATGGCATACAATTTTGGAGCTGTCCAAGGAAAGGTGGGCCGCAACCTGACATAAGGGATCCCCTAACAAGCCTTCAGGGGAGGCTCGCTTTGCCCGGCTCGTCAGAATTTGCCCAGATTCACGTCGACCCACGACTAATCAACCTATAGTCATTTGATAGGGGATGTCTAGAAAACCTCCCATTAATCTGCCAGGTTTCACTCGAGTCATCAGTTGCCATGAGCGGATACGCACAACAAGACTGCAGTGTTCCTGCCCAATGGACATGTCTAACATGGTTTAAGCCTTAAGCCATTCTGGTTCTCCCGCTTTCGGGAAACAAAAGACACATCTCGTTTTGCCAAGGTCACATTGCCCAACACCAGGGTACACCAGAAACAAGTAGTTGTTTTTTCTGAGTCTGTTTCATATCAGTCTATCCTAAACCATTAAAGTCGGGAAGAAGGATCAATGTCCGGCTGCCAAAACTGACCACCAAACAAATGCCGAAGTCGGCAAGGCCAAGGAAAAACCATCCACACCGCGCTCTTCTGGCCAAAGCCCTGCCGTTCAAACAGCCTCACCAGCCTCGTCTTCAAACAGCATACAAAATGGGAAGGGTACAGTTAGATCTATCCATCACTGGGATTTGGCTCCTGTAGCAGGAGTTCATCTCAACCAGAGGAGATTCACCCGAAGTTGGTCCGCAAAGTGATATTGAAACTGGCTGAGAAAAAGAGATAGCAAGATCCCAGTCCAATCACGCCGGTTTTCCCTCCAGACGGGTATGCTTGATAAATAACACCAAGGTGCTACTTTCTCAACGGCATACTTACAAGTTGTGACCATCTCCAAATCCAGACAACATGAACAAATAAGCCCACGGGGTGAGATTCCGACCTGCAACCCCGGAACTCTTTCGGACCCGAAAGCGCCCGCCGCCCGAACGGCTCCAGGCAAAGACGATAAAGCTTTCAGCTGAGAAAAACAACCTGAGGCAGGTGGAAGACAGCCTCAAGCTTCCTTCCAGGTTGCGATGTTGGCCACCGTCTCTTACATTTTAAGGGGAAGGGGGGTCCCCAAAGTGCACCCCACGAAGGAAAATGGGGCGCGACAAAACAAATTCCGGTCGAATCCCTTTGGGCGGCAGGGTTGAGTCCAGAGTGTACGCGGAGCTACCATATCTTGATGGCAAGAACCCCCGGACCCTAAAAGCGCACAACTTTTTGCCTGGCAACGAGAAAATAAACACTTTCCCACCTAGTTCAAGGCTAAAGCTCCAACCACGCATTCAAGAGACAAGCTGTACAAGCTATTACAACATTCCACGGTCTACAAAGGAAAAGGCGCATCTTTAAGAAACAAGCTCTGATGGAGCTTGCTTAGAACACTACCAACTCACACTTCCCCAGTGTCTGGACTTCATACCTTGTTTAGTGGTACACCAGGGTGAAACCAGACGGCATAGTTCCCATGTGGATAAGGGGGTGCTAAACCAAAAGGGAATAGAATTCGCCATCTGCTTTCACCCAACTGCACCTTTGGCCCGGGCTCAAGGGACCTTCCTGTCAAGGGTTTTTGCTTCCAGGTTTGGCTTCCAGCATCCCCACTGTAAAGCCGCTCCTCGGCATTCTTCCTCTCCACCACATGGGCTGCAAAGGCCATGCTGGGCAAATGCTCCGCCTGACGGTTTGCAGCCCCTGCTTAGCTGTGTGGCTATTGCCCCGAGGCAAAAAGCTTACCTTTTGCTCCCGCATCGCCATGGTTGGTAGAGATACCGATCTAAGACGAGCAGTAACCAGAGAGCAAGAGGAACGAAAAACAGGGACAAAGCGCTTTCACAGTTGCAAGGCTGTGTACTGGGAAAACACAGATTTGCCCAGATCCAACCAAATAGCCGCCAAGTTAGATAATCCATGAAGTAGCTACGTGGTTTGCTGCCCCAACTCCTTGCCCGCCCAAGGACTTCCAAGAGGCGCTCGGCACGTTGTGTTTTGCTTTCCTGGGGTGGGGCAAGTTTGGGGTGCAGACGTCGAGCAACAGAGTGCGTTCTGTCCAAACCTGATCCCGTTACACGATCTCCCTTAACTTTTGCCCAACCGAAAATTGATCTTTTGAGATTGTGCCAATGCTACTGGGATGCGAAATTGGGTCATGGCGATGGAAAAAGGAAGCATCAACCAACAAAAGCGCCTCAACAAGAACCAGCCCTAACAGGTTCCACCAAGTTGAAAACACTGAAGGGTCAGTTGAGTCACAAGCACAACCACAACCTGGCAGTCAAGGCGTCTATCCGTAAAGAATCAGAAGGGCAGGCGATCTTGTGACACCCAAACAAATATGTGAGTTCAGTCTGGCAATGAAGCATCCAAGGCATTGGAAGAATTAAGGGAAAGGGAGAAGCATGCAGTGGTCTTGACACCCTCTGCTCAAAAGCTTAAAAGTTTGCAGGTTCCCAAGAAGTTAAAGGTAAAGGATGCGCCTCAAAAGCGTAGTGGTCACAGCGGGTTCCCAGAAAATACCAAGGTTCCAGGGTTCGGGACTCGCTCGAATCATTCGCCTGCGCGGCGCGGTCGAAGGCGTGGCTCCGGCGCAGCAACGCGGTGACGTTGTGAAGACTCACCTGGCGCAGAAACTCGGCCCTCCGCTTTGAGTCCTTCAAAATTGGATATGAAGCCCAAGGTGATTACGGGGGTTGATGGGCGCGGATCGAAACCAAAATCAAAGCCTCCTTTTAGGGAAACCAAAGGGTGTTGCTCAAATCGGGAGGCGCTGAAACTGAATTGTTTATGGGCGACTGGGGGACTCGTCTTTGTCTTAGGGAAACCCAGGAGTACATGGGAGTGCAAAACTGGCCCAAGCCCTGAATTGGGTCTCTCCAAAATTGCTGGCTTCCGTTTGGCTTCTTTTCAAATGACCCCAACAAAGTGCACCTTCCGAAAAAGAAAAAAAACAAGAGGGAGAAAAAAACGGGGGAAAAAAACGTCCAATCGTTTTCTGGCTCTTCAACTCTTGTCCTGAGTTCATTGGCCAACATCCCGAAGCTTTGTTTGCTGCTGAGTTCGTCCAGGCCTAGCAAGTATCCAGCTCAGGAACTCAGGGAGTGAGCCAAAGCGGGGAAACCCAGCTTTACAAAATGCTGCTTGATGCTGGGTACCCAACTCCTGGGTTGTTCAACATGGAAATCCCGGTGGGCCCGAGGGATGGTCGGGGAGTGAATCCAGGCAACCCGGTGACCAAACATGTTATATTTGTGTGTGTGTGTGCGGATGTGTCAGTCAAGACAGGCAACCCGAAAATAGGGAGTTCCCCACAAAGGGTACCCTCAAAACGAACACACACTTATTTCGCTTCTAAAGAGTGTTGGTTGTAGCTGTGGTCTTCCGACAGGGTTGATTGGCAACTGAGGATCCCTTGGTTGGCCAGGTCTCGGGACGAATTGCTACTCTGCACGAATCGCTACCCGCAAGGAGCTTCATGCTTGAGGATTGGCTTCAGTAAGCTCATTGGGCCAGCCCTGGTCAAGCATATTAGCCACTGGTGTGTAAACAACTTCATTTGGGCTTCTTTAAGGTCAGGTTGTCCAAACAGTTTAGACCCAGATTTAGCCCCCCAACGAACCCTAAGCTTGCCCTTAGCTTGGCCCTGAAGGTGCTCTTCCCGCTCCTTTGGAAAGCTCTGAGCTTGCAACAGGCGTATATAGTTGTCTGGGGGGGGTATCTGACCTTCCATAATTGGGCGACAACGCAAACTCTCAAATACCTGGCGAGAGATGCTTGAACATTGGTCCCTCCTTGCTGTCGAGTTCGCTGGTTGATGCTTTTGGAAAACCAGGTAAACAACAACAAACACAACAACCGCTTGGACTAAGGGCTCCATCAATAAATCTTTGCTCCATCTGCAAATGTTTACCCCTCCAAATACCCGCCGTGCTTTAGCCGGCATATCTACCCAAAAGCTGGTTGCCAAACGCGGCGGTGCCACCCCGAAAACCTGATGCTTCTCACTCCAGCAGCACATCTTGCCTGTCGCGCTCCGATTTCGGACGCGAAGCAACGAGCCTCCGAGAGTGGCGGGGACTCCCCCCAGTTCACCATGTTCCCAGGCAGCTCCCGAGACGCCCACTGAAAGCTGATCACATTTGACCGAAAATGAAGTCCCAAAAAGGGAATCCTGAAAGGTTGAAAGGTCGATTAGCCTTGGACTGAGCCAAAAAATGCAAAGGACACCCCAGGCCGCACCAGCCTACGGTTCAGAACAGGCTTTTCGGGTCGAAGAGTTCTCATCATGTTTTCCTGCACCACCTCATCATCCACTGCCTGTAGTGGAGAGGTGTCAGCATGGAGGACTCGGGCAATGATCACTTCTCACAAGTTGTAGGGTAGTGGTGCGTGGTGACGTCAGAGGGTTGTTTTGCTCTTGCGTTTGTGTTTCTACTTTTGCTGTGGGACGATGAAGATGAGGTTGAAGGAAACTTGGTTTGTTAGGGGGATCAAGATATCATAAGATATCGATAAAATGCTCGAAGCAAATGTATACATGAGCCTCCTGGCCAACCCACTTTTGAACATCATCCGTCACTCTCATCAAAGCAAAGGGCAAATGGGTTCTCCATGAATCATGGAAGCTGACAGGGGTTGGGAAAACCACTTCCTTTTGAGGGGGACCCTGTCCGGTTCCATGTTTTTGACTGGGGGCTTTGGCTCAAGTTCACGAGTTCACCGCTCATAGCCAAGCTGCCAGTTCGGCCCATTGCTGAGTTTTTTCGCCTGTTGGGGACCCCTCCAAACGGGGACCGGGGGTGAGAAACTCGGGGGTCGGGCGATAGATCGCCACCAGGTGCCGGTAGTGCGGCAGCAGCGCCCTGGGCCGACTCCGGTCCCGGCCAAATCCGAGTCCCGTGAAGGATGGACTTCGGTTCATTCCATGTTCTTGCTTCTTCTGGTGGAGTCTCTGAACAACTCGGAGAGATCATGTTTGGAATTTGGGAGGCCAAACGGATGAGGGAGCAGGGAGGACCCCCCCCCAAGCCACCTTTAAAGCAGATCTACGGGGACATGGAATTCCTACCTCTTCCAAGCTTCCTTATCCCTGCAAATTGTCCAGTCTGAAGTCTGAAGCATGGCATGCGACATGTCTCAAACTTAGAGGGCCCAAAAATGGATGGGTGTCCGCTTGGCTTCCCTTTTAGCGACATGAAAAAGGGCGACGCCCCGAAGAAACGCTGCCGCCAGAAGCTGGGTGATGGCACACTTGAAAACCTGGCCCGCAGAAGCTCGGAAAGCTGCCTTTGAGGCAACAGGCGCGCGAGCTTGGGGCAGTCCGTCTTCTTTTTCAGGGACTACAAAATGGCGCATTCTGCGGCAGCACGGAGAGGCCAACCCAATAGCGGTGCAATGTAGTGCAATGTAGTGCAATGTAGTGCAATGTAGTGCAACGTAGTGCAACGTAGTGATGGCATTCTCAACGAGATCAAGAATCACGCTTGAGCTCAACTCCGCGTCAGATTTCAGGACTTCGGCCGCGGTTCTGCTCCAATCAGCGACATCAATCTTGCAGCTCTCAAATATCTTCCTTTGCGAAGGCAAAGTCCTCATGAATTTCGACTGCATTACGTGCGAGAAGGCCTCAAGCTTCAAACGCAGCCCCCAACTTGGCCCACTCGGATCTTGACTTCAGCGGAAATTTTAGTTCCGCCATGGCATTTCGGCTATCACCAAGGTATCGAAGTGATAACAATCCCCAGGAAACCACCTTTAGTTTGCAAGGTGACAGCCCTATCTGTGTTCCTGTGTTGGTTCATTCCCACCTTCTTGGTTTGCAGCATCTAACGTTAGAGAGGCATCGGGAAGTGTTGTGTCCTTCACGCCGGTCAAAGAAAGAGGCCCAGCTGTGCGAAGGATCCATGGGGATCTTCCGGTCTGGAGGCAGGTCCTCGCCCCACAGCGAGATCCGCAACCAGGTTGGGTGACTGGCACTGGAGGGCTTTGGCCAGGATGCATGCAAGCAAACTGCTGTTTGGCATCGTGGCTGAGACTTGCCGGAGCCCTGCGTGATGCCAAAACGCCGGATGAGACTGCGCGACTGGACTCTCATGCAAATGCGACAGGTGATCCAAAGCCCAACAAGCCATAAGGCCGACTAATTGAAGCCCGAAACAACACTGTCATGCTCCACCAAACTCATCTTCCCAAAGGGTACCCTCTCACCAACAAGCAAAGAAGCTCACAAACCCCTTTTGGAAGACTGTGAACTTCGGCTATATTTCTTGGTGGGCGGGAATGAAGTTCAACTGGTGTGCACATGTATGCGTGTGTATGTATACACACACACACTTGTGTCTGTCATAACTACAATCAGAAGGCAAACAACCCCATTTTCCGCCCGATTTGGGAGTGTGGCCCTTTGCCTTCTTAGACACCCCCACCTCAGGTTTGGACCTTTGCCGAATCGTCCACGTACTTTAGCTGTTTTCGGGGTATTGCGTGAACCCCTGACTAACAAAGGAAGTATTACTACTTACGGTATGGACCAAAGGGATCCCAAACCCCTCTTAGGCCCCCGCTGCTTGACTTTCCTGGGATCTTGGTCCGGCGCGAACTTCTGGATCCGACAGAACTTCCTGAGCTGCCACTGCCCGCGGTTGCGCTTTCTGGGGATTCCACCCATCTCCCTTCAGCTGGTGGTTTGGAGGCGAGGGGGTGGTTCCCATTTGCTGTCACCAAGAACCACACGTTCAACTCCCCCAACCACCAACCCTGGTCCTGCGAAATAGCAGCGGGCCTTCCCTGTGACTACTTTGCCATTTTGAGGGGATTCCCTTCTGTTGGGTGCTTGTCAATACTTTTGTGCTACTCGTTTGATATCCTACAGGCGTGGATCCACAAAAGCCGCATCCAACTCCGTCCTCTAGAAAGTCCCTTTTCACCCTTGCCTGCTTTGGCCAAACATAGTCTTGGAACCCTCAGAAGTGATTTGAAACGCTCGCAAACAAAGAATTTGACCAGTCTGGGCAAATGTCCCTTTCAACTCCCTAGATGGCCAGGAAAACTAAGATTGGGTCAACTGTAATAGTCGTCTAGCGCCTAAAAAGCTATGTGCTATGTGCACAAATCGGAATGGACGGCACAACCCATTGTTGATGAGCCCGCATGACACTCACTGTTTTTCATCGAAACAATGTCCTGGTGGATGCAGACTTCGCTCCACGGATTCTTCGTCGGAGTCGTCTTCCGTAGACTCTGTGCATCTCTGGGACATTTTCCGCAACACAAATGAGACCTGTTCACGTGTGTTGTTCAAAACCAGCCACCCCGAACGTCTATCTGTTCCCACTGTCCAAAACCCCCATGTGCTGCCCAAAAAGCATTTGGGGGGTGGAAGCTAAAACTCAAACACTTGAAAAGTTTGTTGAGTTTGGCCGGCCGGGTGCCCAGCAGGTCCATGCCCAGCATCTTGTCCTGCATGGCCTCCAAGTACAACCACTGACCCCCCATGAAGATCCTCTTCCAAGTGAATAACCAATCTGAGTGGCTCGGTCCTTTGTTTAAGAAAAATGAAAGTGAATCACGTTCTGGTGGGATATGCTGCAAATCCAGCTCTAAACCCCAAAAGGAAACACCAAGCACTGGTTGACAAGCCCATGGACGTCAGGAACAAATGCATATGAAGTCTGGTCCAAGCGACTTGGAAAAGCCGAGAACTCCAAGACCTCCAGCGGAGATTCATGACGAAAAAGTGGGCACCCGTCTTTGAAGAGTTGATTTAGGGACCTCCAAAGAAGGGAACACAGTCTACAGAAAATGTGGAGGCCGGCATTTGCCCTATGTTCAATGAAATATATATATATATATATATGCTAATATGTCAGATGATGCAGGAGGCATTGGATAATTCAGCAGACGTGCGTGCAGCTGTTGTTTACGGATGGATGAGTTCAACGGTATGTGCGAAACAAACAAGGAGTGGTACCCCTCTCGTGAGGTCGCTATGATTTTGCCGAGGGGCACTCAGGGCTTTAGGCTTGGCCCTCCCCGGACCCCAAGAGCAAGCCGACCCAAAACCCTGGTCCGTTAAGGGAACCTTCTTTGGAACTCCCAAGCTTCGGCCTTGTGAAGGCTGTTGGGGACCTGCTCCAGGGTGATTTCCCCTAAGTGACCATTTCTCAAAAGAGCCACTGGAGGGGGGGACGTCCAAAAACTTTCCTTACGCCAGGCGCTCGTTTTTGGTTTTGCGTCAACCAACTTTCGCTTCGAGCTCCGGGCCTTCTCCGGCTGGCGCCAGGAGGCGAACATGGAGCCGGAGATGTCCCAGACCCGGACCTCCGACACCTCGCCGTGTCAGACCCTGGCTCCTTTGGAAATGTTGGTCCATTTTTGATGACTGGCAAGGACACCTTCTTTTGGCCGAAGTTTCATTTTGAGAGCCCAGGACACCTGTTGGAAACCAAGGGGAAGCCCAAGGACAAAAGAAGCCAAACAACTCTATCCAAAATTTCTTCCAGCTTGGCATCTGCCAAGTTTCGCTTCGTTGAAAAGCCTGATTTTTCAAGGTTTAGGTTTCTGCCAACGTTCTACCTTGCGGCCGTCTGGCTAACACCCCCCAGAAATCAACCAGGGCTCTTGCAGTGGGTAAACAGAGGTGCGGGGTGCAATTTTGGTCCCCTGGCGAGCCGCCAATGGGCATTCAGATCTAGCAGCTTCGAGCATTCTGCGCATGCTCTAGCACCTTCGCCGATTCGATTTTCAATTTGGCAAGCCCTCCAGTTCAATGAATTCGTTCCGCAGCTCAAACTTCGTCAGCCACTGCCAGGCCTCTCTCCAAGTTCGATAGTTTCTGCAGCTTCCGCCCCACCGGCCGGCCGCACAGCCGGCCCAACCGCCCCAACCGCGCGGCGCGCAGGGGAGCATTTGCACGAACAAGTCTACGACAACCTGGACGTGTCGCTGCAGCAGCGCGCGGAATGGCGACCATTTCCGCGGCGCCTGCGAAAAGGAGCATTGTAAATGAGGTGAGAGCCACTTGAGCAATCCTTCACCTCCGCCCATCGCATATAGAATATCTGTTTGGCTCCGTATCTGAATATTTGCCTCTGCCTCGGAATTCCCCGGCTGCTCCACATGTCGACAAACATCCCATCACGCCCCGTTTCCGAAGTATGTGAATACCGGGCCCCCCACAAATTGTCCCATTGCCAGGTCCAGAAATGAATATATTCCCCACACCCCAAGTACGGGAATATTCCCAGCACGTTGGCACCCTCACCACAAAAGGATTTTCCCTCCCCCGTATGAATTCCCAAGTGCCATGCACCATGAACCTCGATGAGTATGTCTCCCCTTTTGGGTGAATGCAGTGATCCTGCAAGGTAAGTGCGAGCCTCTCATTAGCTGGTTAGCCCAAGGGGAAATTCGGCAACTTCTGGGTGTCTATTTGCGAGGGCACCTTGTGTTGGTTGGGTTGAAAGGAAGTGTTTCTTAAATAAAATAATTAAAAAAAAGCTTTCGCGCTGAGGTCACGCCCATCTGGAATTTAACCCAGCCCAACAAAGGCGGAACTCTTCCGGAACTCCGGTGATCGTAGACGCGAACGCCCTGCCTCAATCTTGTCCACTGTGCGAGGATGCACCTCCAGCTTACCCTCTGCCACAGCGTCCTGCGGCCGCCGAAACTCTGGCCATGCAGGCATGAACACAACGTTTTGAATCATCGATGAAGCTGTACTAGGCAGGTTCCAACAGACCTCATGTGAGCCAGCGACGTTGTTTTTCCCCTCGCCCTCCCTGGCTTGTCATCCGCAAATCGGCCAAAGACCAGTGTGAGGAAACTCAGTAAGGTTCGACAACCAAAAGGCAATGTGAGAGCCACTGGAGGGACACTTCGTGACTGCTTGGCCAATATTGAAGTTTTTGCGCTTCTCCGCTCAAGAGGACCTGGACTTGGGAACTGCAGAGCTTGGGAAGCTGGCACAGGGAGTGAAGAAACCTGGGTGAATCATGATGGGAACCCAGTCGATTGAGCTCACAGGGGCCTGGAAACGATGCCAATCGAAACCCAGTTGGTTTCTACGCAGTTGATTGACAGGGGCGTTTCTCCTTCGGATCCAGATCCCTTTGGGGGACCACCTTTTCATCCGCCAGATTATCATTCACCAGACCCAGGGGCGCCCAAATCTGACTGCCGGAGTTGCTTCAGAAGGCGAGAGTTCAACGCCAGGTTCCAGAAACAAAACAAGGCCTTTCGGCAAAGTCGGCCCTCCAACATGGAGCTTGCCAAGAGCAAACATGGAGCTTGACACGACCTTTTGACCAAGTAATATAAATGTTGAATTGGGGACGCTGTAATGAACACCATTGACATTCTGTACCGCAAGCATTCTTGAGGATGTTTCCAATTCACTGTCATTCCCACTTGTGCTCCCGGCATGGCGCCCTATCGACTCCCATGATGGTTTGAAGGTAAAGAAGGCCCAAAGTGATCAGCAAATGGCTCTAACCCTGGGGGACCGCTAAACAGCATATATGAATTTCAACCAGCTGGAAGCTGTGCACCACACACTGATTGGCTGCTCGGGTACCCTCCGAATCACCATGGTACTGAACCCTCAGCCAAATATGAGTTCAAAAAGAATTTGTGTTTCCACCCAACGGGGGCGCAAAAGCGCTCCCAAAAAAAGGCATCCCCTTTGTCTGGCTGACGTCGTAGTTGCGTGGTTCAAAAAAAATAGTCCCTGCTCATTTGCTCGTCCCCAAAAAACCAGCCAATTGTGAACAATCATCAAACTAACCCCGAGTTCATCAAAAGCGCCCCTCGCCGGTCCTCCGTGACCACCAAAGGACTGGCACGCTCCTGGAGCAAAGAGGGCCCGCTCCCGAGCGAAGCAGTTCTTGACGGGTCCGACTCCTACAAAACGTACTGGGGAAGATGAAAAAGACCCAAAGCAAAGAGATGCCTGTCTACTGTTCACACAAGGCCCTCTTATGTTTCCGCGCGGGGACCCGAAAGGTACATGCATGAGCTTTATGCACACCGAGCGTTGAGCACAAAGGCCGAAGAACCACCAGCACAAGCGCTGAAAATTGAGCCACGCTGATTGGCGAAGTGGTGCCGTGCTGATTGGCACTTCCCAATCTTGAACGGCCTGGCGAGCGGGTCTCGGTTCCAGCCGTCCAAGCCCCTTGCGCTCCCCTGATGGAGAACCCACACGACGGAACATCTCAATTGCCAAATCAAGAAACCCCATCACTTAGCATGCTTCAATGCAAACATACGTTCCTTGCGTGTGTTTGCGTGTGCTTGTGTTGGCGCATAAAACATGCAACCCTGCGGTTTATCTAAAAAAAAACAGTCGAAGAGAAATGATCACTTTGTTGTGGAAACAAAGCTAACTGTTGCGTGTCTAGCTGTGTAGCCGTTTAAAAACAAACAGCTACACCAGCAAATATCTGACTTCCTTGCTAGATTCTCTGCAAGCAGCATGCATATCTGATCTCCCTTCGGCTCAGAAATTCTTTGTTTCCGTTCTGCCGTGCCGGGGAGCAGCCAAGAAAAACATGCGCACTCGAGGGCAAGTAGAAACCCACGGCTATGGATTCCATCGCCTGTCAAGGTTGCGCCTGAAACAGTCGCCAAGTCGTCTCTTGTGAGCGTTCTGGAAGCCACCTTTGGATTCCAAAAGATCTACGGGGCTGATTCGGTTCCCACCGATGAATCGACTCTGCGGGCCCGTTTGAAGCAGGCTCCAGTTTCAGTTATGTACCACCTATAGGGTCTACTTAAAGGCTTGTTTCGGTCCAAACATGAGCCCGTTGTCATGTTGAACCCGTTGGGGCTGATTTTCCACAAGTGATAGGTACAACCCATATACCGGAGGTGCATTGCCAGCGCTTCATATATGGGTATAAAAAATATTCCTTTGCAGTTGGCCAGTGGCCCTGCCAGGTAAACCCAAAATCCCATGGGGTTCGGCCCTGGCTCTGCAAAAGCTGCAAGCCAAGTTCTCGATGGCCATTCACAGGGTCTCAAAAGTAAGCCCTTACAGCCCACAAAAATGTCGGATAACCAAAACCACCGAAAGCCATAATGTCACTCCCCATGGTTTCATCCTCAAAGGGTCCAACCAATTAAAACTTATAACCACTTTATGTACTCAACTCTTCCTAGTACACAGAAAAAAGAGAGAAGGATTCGGTTCTATATTTAGTCAACCCTAAGATATAACCTCGTTTTGCAGGCGACCCCAGGAACCCTGCCCAAAAAGCTCAACCTGGTGCGGGTTAGTGAGAAGATTATCATTGTCCCACAAAGATTTAAAGTCTAACGATCCAACCCAAGAGCATTCGAGTCTACCAGATGATTGGCAATGCCTAACCACCCTGGTAAGCCCCCACTGCTCCTGCGAAAATCGATATGGAGCCCCAAAAGGAAGCGTCCCAAAAAAACAAGTCCTCCAGACATGCTGGGCTAATTTAAAACCTGAAGGGTAGGTGGATGCTGTATCCGGGAAAAAAACAACACTTTGGGAAGCAACCTTGTGCCAAGAATGCATTTACCCAAATCAAGAACCTTGCACTCTTCGAGAAAGCAGATTGGACAAATGCAGGGCTCATCCGTCTCTTCTCTCCCTAAGTAGCACCTTGTCGAAGGCCCCTGTGAGCCTTTCGGCCTCAGAGACAAATCAGGAAAGTCGTGTCCTGTCTCCGTAGATCCGGAAAGCTGGCTTGCATCTGATTTTTCTTTTCTCAGTTTTGCTCCTTGACGAGCAGCTCATTGGCCCAAAGGGTCTCGGAGTTCGCGTCCTGCAAGTGAAGACTTGGAATGCGACAAGCGGAACGCTCAGCCGGGCGCCGGAGGAAACAAAAACAAAAGAGCTCCTGGGAAACCAAAATGAATCGGCGACAAACCCGGACGCCGTGAGCCACAAAATGAGATTGTCTCGCTATGAGAAAGTGGACCCACAAAAGGTGGTTTTCCTGCTGGTCTTCACCTTTTGAACCTTCGGAGTCATCCGGGAATGAAATTTATAGCAGGGCCCTTTTATAAGCGTTGAACATTCAATATACGTGGGGGGGGTGATGCTCACCAATCATACATCATTCTGTTCCAACCGCACACAGACCTGTGCGTGACGAATTCAACATTAAAGCCCTCCACTTCGAAAATCAATACAGCCATTGTGACTACATTTTTCTGACATTGAGCGGGTTCTTTTCTAACATTAAGGCCTGCCCCAGAAGCTATCCGACAAAATAACATCCAAACATTCAAAGTCACAGCCTTCTCGTGCCCCGACCCCCAGTGCTGCTCCACGGGAAAAAAGAGCCCTTCTTTTCGTTTGTTCTTTGGGGCGGGGGGTAAACTGATAAACCCCCGTCACAACAAATGTCGACACGAAGGGCTGGTAGCTGAAAGTGAGAAAGGCAATCCCCCAACGACAAAAACAACGAAAAAGGGGTAAAGGGAATGCCCCAAAAAGAAGTTACATAAAGCTGGATGGCTCAATCCCCGCATGCGTTTGTTCGGTATGACTGGCAGAATCTCCGTGGCCAAGCACCGAAAACGGCGAAGAAAAGAGGATAAAGCGAAAAAAGGCCCAAAGCGCCTTCGCATTGGAGGGCCAAGGTGCCGGGTAGTGGGAAAATGTGGGTGCCAAGGTGCCAGGTAGGTGCCTTTTGACTGTTTGCAGCTTAGTGGGAAAATGTGTGGTTTCCCAAGAGCTAAAGACAAGATCAACATCCCATTTGCAACGCATCCCACAGCGCCTGGGGCAGCATGTCCCGAGCGGAGCCTCTCAGCTGACGCTCCGGATCCCAGGTGGATTTTTTCAGGTGGATCCCAGTTGGGTACGTATCACAATAGACCCCAAAATGGTGGTGATTCTTTCGAAATGTCCAATACACAATTCCTAATCCTGCAAAAGGTACAGTACCATTTAAAAACACACCCACACACACTCACACACACACACACACACTTACCGTTATTTGGCCCAACAGGGTATAGCAAAAGTATGATGTTCAGATTCTGTCCCACAAACTAAAATTGTACTTCGAGGAGACCCCAGACTATAGAGGTCCCGGGGAGATCAGCTTCCTCTCGAAGGGGCCCCTGTCAGGTGCCTTGTAGTGGGAGGGGGGTAGCCAAACATCCGTTTGGGGATTTTAGGGGTGGCTTCTTTGTGCAGAAGGCCCACTTTCTACCTTTCGTGCTTGTGTGGGTTCGATGTCAATCTCTGGGCTGTTGAAAGCCAATGCCAAATAGCTATCTTGGGTTCTGAAAGAATGTGTGCTTTGCAGTGATTTCTCAAAGAAGGATTGATGAGAATTCTCTGCAGGCCCGGATCAAACTCCATTTCAGGCCGGGTCATGTCAGGTCATCCCCTTCGCAGCAAATGACGCTTGGCGGCTCAGTTGAGTGAGAAACAGCCTGGCCAAGATATCTATCCAGAACGCGGAAACGACTTAGTCAAAGGCTGAATGCATGCGCCCAGCAGGCAGGCAAGTCGGGCCCAAAGGTGGTTGGTTTCCAGAGCTATTGCAACATAACAAATGGCTTGACAAATTCCATTAGTCCGGGGTTCATACCAGGCATGCCAGCAATCTATTAGAAGAAGCATACATGCAACCCCCCTCCCTTGATTTTCCTGGGAGATTGGAGGCGCATGGGTACACTTGGCACTCAAGTTGGTGCCCAGCCAAATTGAGCTCCAACAAAAGGCAACAAAGCTGATATTTGGCTAGTGGCCCCTTTTTGAGCGCCACGGAGAGACTCTGGGTACTCAAGATCATGTGAGGATCTACAAAGGCGTGGGCTGTCTCTGCAACCAGTTGTCTGTTTGCTGGTAAAAAGTGCAAACGGAGGAATCCCAGAAGGTCCAAGGGAAAAGAGGTTGGTCAAGTCTGGCAATCGTTTGTGTAGACCACTTGAGCATAGCGTGTACGCCCTTACAAGCCACACGCCACACGAGCGAAGCGGGCGATGTGAGCGGCAAGCCCCTCTTTGGCCGGAGTCGACATTCATTACTGGAGACAAGGCGACGCAAAATAATCGCAGAAACAGATTCTAAGCCACCAAATCATGGAACAATGTGGCTTTAGGATGAGTCACAAGCAAAACCTGGCATTCAAGGAGTCTGCCGAAAACCCATGCTAAAGGACCAAAAGCGGCTTTCCATATGCCTGGAACTGATCCCCTACAAAACCTCAACGCAGTTCTGACTGTGGCTCGTTCCTACCTGGACATGCCTCCCAGACTTCCATCCCAGCGTCCAGGTTTACCCGCCGGGAAACCATCTCAGAGTATCTTTGAGGTCATAAAAAAAGCTTGCTGGCTATGGCCCCTGCCCGAAAAGACTTACTCTTTTTGCAGGGTGGCCAAAAAGTAATCATTTTCCGCCCCAAAAAAACTAAACTTCTAAAGATCCAAGCATTTGAGATCTAAGCGTCCCCTTGGAGAAATGAAGATCGATGAAGGCCGCCTCGATCTTCGCCAACGACTTCCGCCGGTCCCCGGCCTTCTGCCTCCCAGTGCGCCAAATCGGCCTCTTTCACCTCACACACTTTGGCCTCGGGTCGAGCCATGACACTGGGCCAAACAACAGGTACACCAAACCCAAACAGCCGGGCCTCCCAACACATCAGAATCTGTGCTGGGCATTTGCGGGAAAGGGCCTGTCCAGAACTGGATGGAACCAGCCGACAACTGGAAAGGGGAAGCACCCTTTGATTTTGCAGTTGGGTCACTGCACCTTTTTTGGAAGAAAGGCACTGATGGTTGTGAAATCTAGCCGTGTCTGTCATACCAAAAGCAGCCACACACAGAGCTTCTTGCGAGAGTCGTGGCTTGGGGCCGTGGCTGGGCAAGGCAGGAACCGCACCGGCATGTCCTCAGATTTTGGTCGAGGCGACTGAGCGTGGGAGCACCCCTCGGCAAGACAGACAGACAGACAGACAGACAGACAGACAGACAGACAGACAGACAGACAGACAGACAGACAGACAGACAGACAGACAGACAGACAGACAGACAGACAGACAGACAGACAGACAGACAGACAGACAGACAGCTAGACAGCCAGACAGCCAGACAGCCAGACAGACAGACAGACAGCCAGGCGGGGCGGGGCGGGGCGGGGCGGGCGGGGCGGGGCGGGGCGGGGGGCGGGGGCGGGCGGGCGGGCGGGGGGGGGAGGGGAGGGGGAGGGAGAGGGAGGAGGGAGGGAGGGAGGGGAGGGGGAGGGAGGAGGAGGGGAGGGGAGGGGAGGGGAGGGGAGGGGAGGCCTCACTTGGTTCGCATGGAATCAACAGCTGTTCTGGGAGTGAACCAAAAGAAACAACAAGGGACGGTTTTTGCCGGGCTTCACGAAACTTCCCCGGGAACCAGTCAGCTCCCGCGCGCGCGCGAGCTAAATTATTCCGCCACGCGGCGTGCGCCACCTCGATCACGGCATTCACGCGGAAGACCACCAGCAGGGTCTAGCAAAGATCAATGGGCATCTTAGTTTGGCGGGACCCCCAAATGGTGGTGTTCTTTTTGGTTTCCCTTTCAAACAACACCCAAAAGGGGTTCCCTCAAAAATGCAAACCCATATTTTCGGTCATGGTGTTCTTTTTGGTTTCCGTTTAAATAACAATTAAATGGGGTACTCTCAAAAACGACCACCCACATGGTCAAACATCCGGTACAGTGGTCCTTAGAGCCATGTTCGCCATGTTGGGGGCTCAAACACCTTAAGGTTGCTCTCTTTTCGAGTGGTTTAGACGGCTTGATTTTTGCTGGCCTTGTCAAACACGGGGTAGCCCTCAAAACATTTGGTGACAACAACCCTGAAAGGGTGCCCATACTCAGCGAAATTATCATGAGGAAATGGTGGTTGTCTTGTGGAGCGCAATGAATATTGACCGTGGCTCACATATTTTTGAGCAAGCGCATTGGTCAAATGGCTGCGCCACCAATCTAGGAAAAGTACTATGATTCACCAATGTGTATGTATCAAAATACGATCCCCCAAATGGTAGTTTCCTTTTGGTGTACCTTTAAACCCCAAAAAGGATACCCTGAAAATCCCACACCTTGAAATATGGAAACCTAAGCAAAGGACAAGCATCATTGGTCAGCTTGACTTGCCCGGCAACGGAACGCGGGAAATGCCTTGCTCAGGTCCCTAAGTATTGCAAGTTCAACACCCCAACACGTGGGCAAATGCAAATACCGAATTTCCCTTGTCCCTACTTTCAATATGGGCATGTCTTTTCATGGCAGGTGCCTTTTTGGCTTAAAGAGGAAACAAGGGAAAACCAGCCATTTTTGGCGCCCCTTCAGTTGAATTAAAAAACGTACTGGGGGACCCGCCACTGGGGAGGGTGGGGAGGAACTGCACCAGGCCAGGAAATTGTCCATTTGGGTGCGTGTCAAAATAGGGGTGCCCCTAAAATGGTTGGCTTCTTCCCCTTTAACCCAATCCCCAAGAGGTACCCTCAACCAAAACACCTCCATTTCGAGGCGGGGCATCCACTGGGTTGGAACCTCTTGCAAACCAAGAAGACTCGAAGGGCGCCTAGAAAGCAATACACGATGCTCTTTCGGCCGGTTAGTCCTGAGCCCTGTCCCGTGTTGGGAAAGAAGGGACCCAACAAAGCGGGTGTTTGTTTGTCCATTTGTTTACCTCAAAAATGGCACGCTTTTGGAAATGATCGGCCCGAAATAAAACTTGAGGAATCTAGAAATGGGATTATTTCCAGTCCTCAAAGCGACATTCTCAAAATGACCCGCTCTTTCGGACAGTTTCCCAGCACCGCCTCATGTTCCGTCAACACTCCGGGTCAGTTGTTTTCGCCAAATTATGGCTGTCACTTGCAAGTTTCAGTCCCTCAAGCCCTCCTTCCTTTTCGCCCATCGCCGCGTGCGCCTCTTTGATCTTGGGGACCATGCGGTGCCCCACGAAGCGAGTGGCCTGCACGGAGAGACTGGGCGTCCCCATGGTTTTGACACCTCTCAACTACTTCTCAAGGGAGAAATAGCTCGCTGAACAGGATTCCAAGGTTAAGCTACTGATGAATCAAACCTACGATTCAGGTCCGAAATGGAGATCCCGAAAGTAGGTCCGCCAAAAAACTGCCCGGTCTGTGGTCAAGATGGTTTGTCTCAAATAGGGGACCCCCAATATTGGCGCTGTTCGTTTGCTTTCCTGTTAAAAGGACCCCAGATCTCTGGGTTGTTCAGAACGGGGGGAACCCAATCCACAATGAGTAGCGACAAACAACAAATAAACCCCAAAACAACTCGCATTAAAAATAGTGCGGATTAAATTGGGGGCGTCTCAAAAATGCGGGGGGACCCCGAAAATGAGTGGTTCATTGAAGAACGCCAATTAACTTTTCAATGGTTCCTGTGAGAAGGACTTACTGTGGCTTGATTGGGAAAGCGCTGGACGTGCGCAAAACCAGAGCAGACCTTTGGCTCTGCCTGGTGCCAAAGGTTTACACTTAATGAACAAATAACAATGAATGTGCGCAAACACACACACACACACACACACACACACACACACACAAACACACACACACACACACACACACACACACACACACACACACACACACACACACACACACACACACACACACACACACACACACACACACACACACACACACACACACACACACACACACACACACACACATGTGCATGCACGCCCACGGACAGGCGGGCAGGCGGGCAGGCGGGCAGGCGGGCAGGCGGGCAGGCGGGCAGGCGGGCAGGCGGGCAGGCGGGCAGGCGGGCAGGCGGGCAGGCGGGCAGGCGAGGAGGCGGGCAGGTGGGCGGGTGGGCGGGCAGGCGCGCGCGCGCACAAATGCGTGCGTGCGTTTGTGTGCTTTGTGGGTACCTTTGATTGGTGTCGGTCCCCAGATTTCCATACATACCCCTATAAAGCTGTTGCATGTCTGAGTGAGCAGGATCCTTCCGTACCCTCGAAACCTGGACATCACAATACCCCGATGTCCCTTGACACCCCCGGTGCCTGGCCCTCGGACTTGGCTTTTCTCAGGATGGTGGGGCGGTGGAAGTCGTCAGTGCCTTGGGCTGGTCTTGAAAGAAAAATGAGTGGTTGCAAGGAGACGGGCCACTGGTTGGTTGGTTGGGTTTGGTTGGGTTGGGTTGGGTTGGGTTGGGTTGGGTTGGGTTGGGTTGGGTTGGGTTGGGTTGGGTTGGGTTGGGTTGGGTTGGGTTGGGTTGGGTTGGGTTGGCTGGGTGGGCGGGCCGGCGGGTGGGTGGGTGGAGCGGTTATGAAGTTGGGTTGTTAAAAGTTGGTTCGTTCATCGGTTGAGTCATGCCATTGACAGGCCTCCCCCAGTTTAAGGGCTGATTTATTCTTATCACAGAAATCGTTGTTCATTCCGAGTGAGTGGTCGGTTGAGTTGATTTATGGTCTTCCGTTTCCCCGAACGAGCCAAACATCGTCACATGTTGGGGTTCAATGGAAGAACATCAATGAACCAAATGACCTTTTGGCGACGTGTCGCTTCAAGCAAACTCTCACTTTCTGGGCGGATTGGCAACGCATGTCCAAGCTTTTTGTTTGCCATTAAAACGGTCTTCCCTAAAAGTATAAAGTGCAGGAACTCGGGGAGTGAGAATAAATGAATCGATTGAACCAGGGAAGCTTACAGGCCTGCATCCCAATTGAGGTCTACCAGAACCCCCACCCCACATGTACAGGGATTTGGGGGCCCCAGACCCTTTCATAGGAGCTGGACAGCCATCCACTGGTGTTTGCTATTGCTTTGTGTTCTGGGTGCATTATTCCATGGACTTCAGGGTTTTGTTTGGCAACCATTTTTGTGGTTGGTTTCATGGCGGCCTTCTTTGAAGATACCGTTACTAAAAAAAGAGACATGGTTCTAAAATGTTGCCCTGCATCGTCGAGGTGGACCTTCATACCACCGGAAGACCTTCCCACTGAGTAGCTGGTATCAGGACAATCAACCCGGGGTCAGAGCCCAAATGAATACCCTTCTCAAAAGAAACATCTTGCTTACCCCATGCATAGGTTTATAATGGTTTATAACCGTCTGTTCAAGGCGGAACAACAAATGAGCAGAGCCCGAGCAGCAGACATGTGGTTCTACCAATGGCTTAGACAGGGCTTACTGAGTTCCCTAACCACAAAACCAGGTAGGAACCTAAGCACGTGCTGAAAACTTGACCCAATCGGGTACCCCCAAAAACACATTGTCAGATTCTGCTTCAAAATAGACTACCCTTAAACACAACATACCCATAACTTTGAAGGAGACCCAGGAAAGAGCCAATCGAAGTCGGCTCTGGGACGCTCGCTACTCAAATCACGTCAGCCGACATCCACGGTTGTCTCTAAATGAAGGACACCCTCAATGATTGCTTTCCTGTCGGTTTCCCTTTAAAGCCAACTCAAAGGGGGCTTCCCAACGTCACATGGCTCCAGAGTCAACTCCTGGCACCCAGCTCAGGTAGGCGTGCACGCAGTTGACCTCCCAAAACGCGTGGGAGATGGGGATTTTGAAAGGGACACCAAAGAGAAACCATTTGGAGGGCAAATTGACATGATCTAAAACCCTTCATTTGTAGGAGAAAGTGCCGTTCGGGGGCCGGTTCCGTCTGTTCACTTGCACTGGAGTGTAGGGAAGGAACCCTGGGATATATGGTCCCGGGCTCCGGGTTCCCAGTCCCCCCCCCCAATGGTATCCCCCCCCCCAGAACCCGAGCCACAGGAGAAGCCCTGCTGCTGCGGTCCCCAGTCCCCAGCCCCTTCGCCCCCTGAACCCACACCTCGACACGCCCTGCGCCCCAACTAACCCTAAACAAACCCTGAACCAACCCTAAACTAGCTCGAAACACAAATCTTAAACCAACGCTTGACACGTTCTGAACACACTCTAAACCAAACCTGAACCAACTTAATCAACCCTAAACCAACCGTAAACCAACCGCACATGTCTTAAACCAACACTAAACACATTCTAAACCACCGCGGAGCTAACCTAAACCACTTCTGCACCAAGGATAAAAACACACATCCTAAACCAACACTAAATACACTCTAAACCAACCATAAACCAACCTTAAACCAACCCTAAACACATATATATATATATATTACACCAACACTGAACACACCACTCTGAATCAGCCCTAAACCACCAAACTAAACTACACCACTACAGCTAGATCAACCCTAAACCAAGTCTAAACCACTACAACCCCACCACGGGGGGGGGAGGGGTGGTCTCATAAAGAGGACTGGGAACCATGGGGGGGGGAGGGGGGGGGGGGGACTTGCGAACCCTTGACCATATAGTATGAGTCAAAGTATGGGGATTGGGGGCCCTTTTGGTTCACGTTTACCAACCCTGAAAAGGGTACCCTCAAAAAACACTAACCCATATTGACGTTCTCATTTGCGCAAGAGCCTGGAAGATATTAACTCAACTTGTCAAATGAAAAGCAGACGACATGGGCAATCTGTCTACCTCAGCTTGCCCCCCAACCCAAGCTTGCTGGTCAGAAAAGTTCTATAGCTTGGCTCAAATGGCAGGCAATGCTTCTTAAAGGGGAACCACCTCGAAAGTGGTTGGCGGACGTGCATCCCCACCTAGATCATGTCCACCACAGGGTTCCTCCACTTATATTCACAACCACATGTGGCAAAAGCTAGCTCATGCAGATCCATATGGGTATCTGCCGAAATTGGAAATTGCGCTGCCCAAAATGGTGGTGTTCCTTTTGGTTCCACTTGAAACCACCCCAAAAACGGTGCCCTCGAAAAAAGACACACCCGGAGCAAGCGGATCTAACATTCAAAAAGACATCAAAAAAGGTCCCTGTGGTTGCGCAAAGTTGACTGACCCGTTCACCTTGTTGCGGGTGAGCGAGGGTAGGCCTCAAGTAAAAGCCTTGGAAAGGCCTACGATGCGCCCTGGAGGCAGGTCTAAGCCAGGACCCCGTTGCGTCAGGTTGAAAGGTGGGAGGGTACTCAAGGGGCTTCATCTTTTTAAAGCGGGAGGGTCCTTGAGCAGAGTCTGACAGGAGAATGCAATGGTGAACCACTGGTTGCAACTGGTGAAGGGCTGACCAGTACGGCAAGAGAAAAGAAGTTCTTTTGGGGTTGAGTTTGAAAGGGCTCCCCTTCCAAAACAGTTGAGAAAAAAGGGACGTTGAGTCCTTTTCTCTGTTTGCCGGGAAGTTTCAGCCCATTCCCCCCCACATGGCCCGCATTTTACGGGGAAACCCAAGTGGCGCTGAGCCGGCCTCATCCTCCTCGAGCCGCCCAGAGATGGAGGGAGTCCACACGATCTTCACCGTCTGAAACCTGCCGTGCAAAAATTTTCAGGGCCCGGCCCACGAGGGCAGAGGGCCCCCATAGTGGCTGTGGGCTCGGGGAGTGCATCAGTGATTTCGCGTACTTTACAAACATTCAGGTAAATCTACTCAGCGATTGAGTGTAGTAACCAACCCGGCCCGGTAGTAACTGAGTTACAAAGGGGCGCAATTGCTTTAAAACTAAATTTCACCACAGGGGTACATCGGCTATGGGTTTAGCCACTGCGGGCGTGAATCATAGTGGAGAGACCCTTGCGGTAGACATCCTTCAGGTCACGTCCGCCGACCACTTTCGATGTGGTTCCCTATTTTAAAAGCAGAGCCATGTAAACCAAACTGGTTCCCTGTTATTTTAATGTCCTGACCCGTTCTTTGGGTCTATGACACATACGGAGGACATGGCGTACTGGATTGTATTAAATTAGGGAACCCAACAAATTTGTTTTCCCCTTAAAACCAACCAAAAGGGGTTTCCACGAATAAAACAAAAGACCCACGCCCTTCTGTTTGGAGGTATCAGGGGTACGACCTCCTACATCAACAACAGTCCTTCAATCATATTAGGTAGCCATTCATTGTCCCTTTGCGCAGTGCCCACCGTCATGAATTTGTATAGGCTGAACTAGAATCCTAATGAAGCCAGATAGTAGATCCACTCACCTAAAACAGCAATCTGACACCCAAAGATGCCCGGCCATGAGGAAGCTCTCAAGTGGGAGACCACTGTTGCTCGTCTGTTTGGAGGGAAGCCAAAAGGAAGCCAACCAATTGTATGTTTGGGCTCATTTCCTCATGACACAAACTCAAGGAGCTTAGCGCCGAAGCAGGAGAAATCCAAGACACGGGAACATCTCGCAGCCTGGGGAAAGCTGAAACTGAGTGGGCGATCACCCGGTCAAGGCCTAGCCAAGACCATGTAGCCTAGGAATCAAAAGGATGGAATACCACACATATCAAAGTCTCCTATGATCATGAAACCAACCAAGAGGTCCCGTTGTAGGAAAATATGGTGGACTCACTGCAAGCAAGAAAGGTTCGCGCAGCAGGGTGACGCCCAGGCCCTGAATCCAACTCTGCGAGAGCCGTCCAAGGGATAGCTGGAGGCTGCCACTGCTTCTCCTGAGAAAACGAGGTCTGCAAAATCCTCCAAAGCAGTTGCTGCTTGCTGCCCGGCCGGTGACATCGCCTGTGGCGCCCCAGCAGGCAAAAGCTGCCGAGGACGACTTTTGAGCCGGAGGCGCCAGGGTTGGCAGCAGCCTTTGGCTTCCGGTCGACTCACATCCAAACACCCAAAAGGGTGTACCCGTGGGTCAATGGCTAAGTCTGGCTAAGAGCGAAGCTTCTCATTTTTGCACACATCGACTTGGTGGCTGTTGCCCCCGTAACATTTGTAGGTTAGAGAGAAAAAAGAAAGAAAAAAAAAGCAAAAGGTAACCTTTAAAGATCCAACTCGATAGCATTCAAGATTACACCCAAACCGCAACTTGTTCCGGCGCCACTTGCCCGCGCCCCCATCACACGCGCACACGTGCCTGTCACAGATCCAGCACCTCTCTGCCCGCAGAGCCACGGACTCCAGGTTGGCCCTCGGTTGAGCAAAACGTTCCGAGGCTTGGACGACTGCAACGGTGAAAACAGGTCAAATAGGGACATAGGGGGTTCCCGAAATTTGTTGGCTTCCTTTTGGTGTCCGAATAGCAAGGGGGTTCGAAATCCATTTTGAGAAGCTCCACATATGGGCATGAATCTTAAATGAACTGCTTGGTGGACATCGTTTAGGTGGGGGTTCATTGAAATTCATGGCTATAGAACAATCACTCCAGGATTTCCGGAAAGGGGTGCAGCGATTACCCAGAGTTGCAACCAATAGTTGTCCAGTCAGAAAAAAAGACAACTGTATTCCCAGCAAAATAGTGAGACACAATTGGCGATCCATACGCCAATGGTTGTTAACTGTGCAAAGAACCTACTCCAAAACCATGGCACCCGATGGGTCGGGTCAGTTGGGGGCAAAAACAAGTCAAAAATCGCCTCCGTCCACGCGGCCTTCCATCCGTACCTAAATTGGGCGGATCGATGTCTTGAGAGGACCCCTGAAAAAAACCAAGGGGAGCGACATGGATATTCCCTTCTCCATCTCCTAAGGATCATGTGGTAAGTGGGCCCCTTCTCACCGAAAACGACCGCAAGGTGCCCAAAAGCGCAGGAGTATCCCCCAGCTTCAGAACCTGCCCGGAGCCACCTGGATGTAGCTTTCTTAGGTACCCTCTTGAGGTTGGTGGAGGGAAGGACGACCACCATTTTTGGGGGTCCCCCTACTTTGGCACGCTTCCAAGGGCCGCCAAATCAGCGGATTGACCCAACAGCCCAGCTGGAAAGAACAATCTGGAAGCTGCTTTCGTCAAATATGAGGGTGTCCCAAATACGGGACGCTCTCCAAAAGTGGTTCTTTTTTCTTCCCCCCCCCCACACATTTTGGACACCAAAAAAATATCCTCAATTTCCGTCTAGCTCGGGGTGTTTCTCTCACCGCACCTGTCCCGAACCGACTTGTGTGGGCGAGGGGCGACTCGAACGACTGGGCCAGCAGAAGGCTGTGGTCTTTGTCCTTCGGATGCAGGCAACACTATTGCGCATGAAGCCCCTTGATGTTCGAAAAGATGCCTGATGAGACCCTGCTGGTTTGGTGCTAGTGGGAATGATCTTAAATACCTGTGCGCAAACTACGAAAAAACAAACAAACCGGACGTGGAATCGCTCATTTTACCCCCCCCACCTGTTCAGATGCCTCCCATACCTCTATACTGCAACAGGGCTCCAACAAGATTGCCCTTTCACCAACCGCCAACAAGCAACTCACTTTATATTACTTGGCCAAATGAGGATGATGAAACACCACCAAAACGGGAGACATACTACAATAATTCCACCGAGTATGCGTAACAGCCTAGAACCTCCAAGGAAGCTACAGGACGCAGAAATCAACGAGCGAGGTAGATGCTTTGGATTGTCGGATTGTCGCGGCCTGCGCCCGCCAAACGCCTGGAAAGAACAACCAAAGGATGCAAGATCTGCAATGTTTACAAGTTTCCACCCCCAAGTCAAGGACCAACATAGAAAAAGTAAAACTCGCTTTACCCCAGCTCGAAATCCAAAAAAAGACAACGGACGATCAATGTTCTACCCTTGTGGCTTGGTCATTGTTTTGAGCTTCGGGGAGCAATCCTGAAATGAACTCCCAAGACAGGACCCGGATCATCATGTGGCAAGATATTGCCCTTTGCTTTTTTTTGGCTGAACAGCAGTCGTAAAGCCCATGAAACCTCGGGGGGCAAAGGTATCCCCCCCCACCCCCAACTGTCCCCATGCGGTGCCTCCCACTCTTCCCAGGGCTTGTCCTTCGGCGACCTGTCAGGTGCTTCGTAAGCTAGGCCTAGGCAAAAAGTGACCTAAGTCCCGCCGACAGTGCCCAAGCCTGCTATTTGTGGGTTGTAACTCAGGTGGCTAACCACTTGCTAATTTGGCCCAACGCTCAAGTACGGGCGTGGCCCCTGGATGCCTTCTAACGCACAGACAAGGATCGCGCAAGGTTCTTTCAGTAAGGTTCTTTCAGTCAGGTTCTTTCAGAATTATGCGCAAATGGTGTATATCTTTTCGTTCTAACAACAAACAGCCGACGAGTCAACAGTCAATCATGGTCTACTCTTGTCTGCTACGTAGCACAACCAGTCACACTCTCAGCTTCCCTCTAATTGGTTTGGAGGTCAGAGGTTCAAATCACCAACTAAGGGCTGCCTGCAAATCAACATGGAACCCCAAAAGCAAGTCTGTTGGAGGAATCTCTTTTTGGAGCTCCCTTGTTTCGTTTCGATTAGTTAATTCCCCTACCCATCATTGTCAAATCACAGCAAGAGGACCCTCTAAAAGCAAACAATGCGTGCTGAAACGACCCTTTCCTTGTCCTGTTCAATCGCTGTGTTGGTTTTGAAACTAAAAAAACAGGGTGTCTTGGCTTCAACCACATAGCGGGTTGTTGGTTTAAGCTGAACAAGCGGGGCTCAACATCAAAGGCCACTTCGTGGGACCCTGCGATGCAAAGGAACCCAAACCCCACCCTTCGCGGCTTGATCCGGGCGGTCACCTTGGGAAACAAGTTCGCGATTTGGGGATGTTCGCGGCTTGAGGAAACCATGGCATGTCCATTTATGTCCCCAAGCCTATACCCACATCCCGGTGCCACATCCCCGATTGTTTGCTTGTCTGAAAAGACACACACACACACATACGCAGACATGCACAGACAGACACACACACACACACACACACACCCACGCGCACACACGCACACACGCACCCCCACACACACACACACACACACACACACACACACACACACACACACACACACACACACACACACACACACACACACACACACACACACACACACACACACACACCACACACACCACACCCACCCATCCACCCACCACTACCCACCCACCCACCCACCTATACCCACGCGCCGCACGCACGACGCATCGACGCCCGCCCGCCCGCCGCCGCCCGCCGCCCGCCGCGCCGCCCGCCCGCCCCCGCCCGCCCGCCCCGCCCGCCCGCCGCTTCGCCCGGCCGCCGCCGCGCCGGCCAACCCGGCCCGAGCGCCTGCCCGCCCGGCCTGCCCGCCCCGCCACGCCCGCCCCGCCCCGCCCCGCCCCGCCCCGCCCGCCCGCCCCGGCAGTGGTGCACCTACCCCAAAATGGTACCATTCGTGACCCACGGCCATTTCCCTTTTGAGCCTTCCATCTTTTGGTCCATCTGTCGCGAAGTCACCTGCCTGAGTCGTCTTTTCCACCGAAGCCTCCGCCGTCCGGGCGCGCTTCCTCGCGGTTCCAGCGCCCATGAACATGCTATGGTTCTGCAAGCTTCGGGTTGCTTCCCATTGCCACAATTGAAATGGTCATCTTGAGGATTGCTAAAATCTTGCCCCAGCAAGAAGCCCGCGAAGCTTCAGAGCTCGGTCCATCTGGAAGATTTCGCCGGCGCCTGTGCAACAATTTGTGCATCTTGCAAGCTGACGGCTTCAGTTCTCTCTCTCCATCTCTCCCCCTTCCCCTCCTCCACCTCCGGTGGCACGTCTGGGACTTCTACTTCAGCCACCGGGACCTCTGGTGGGACCTCCGCTGGCCTGACCTCTGCAGGTTGGACCTGTGGGAGCACCGGCCGAGGTGCGGCGCAGCCGCCACCTGAGCCTGCCAAACATCCACAGGGTGTTTTCCTTCCCTTCGACATTTGTGGCGTCCCAACCCGCCCCGCCCGCCCCGCCCGCCCGCCCGCCCCTTGCCGCCCCCGCCCTTGCCCCGCCCCCGCCCCCCTTCCCGCCCCCCGCCCCCCCGCGCGCCGCCGCCCGCCCGCCCCGCCCGCCTTATTTACCCACGCCGCCCGCCGCCCGCCCTTCCGCCCCGCTTATTCGCCCTTCCGCCACCGGCGGCCCGCGGGTGCGCATATATTATGCGCCCCATGCCCACCGTGCGCCTGGCTTGTGGCGCGGTGCGGCGGCAGCGCTTATACCAGCATATATACTTTCGCTGCGCTCATGCGCTTCTTCCATACAAGGTGGTTATATACACGTGCATATATACCGTGTATATACATATTACTATTATACAGACTCATGTATGGCGCAGCACACTATATTATGCGCTCGGCGCGTCGCTGGCCAAGACGCCCGCCGCCCCGCGAGATACGCGCACGCGCACGCGCACGACGCGCATGCGCACGCGCACGCGACACGCACACGCACACGCACACGCACACGCACACGCACACGCACGCGCAAATTAGCATGCGCAGACCTGTTGTGACGAAGCCAGTGCAGATGCAGCGCAGATACGCGCACGCGCCGCACGCGACGCACACGCCGCACGCACACGCAACCGCACACGCACACACCACACGCACACACACATGCACACACGCACACCACACACACACACACACACACACACACACACACACACACACACACACACACACACACACACACACACACACACACACGCGCCACACCCACCACGCCCACACGCCCACACGCCCACACGCCCACACGCCCACACGCCCACACGCCCACACGCCCACACGCCCACACGCCCACACGCCCACACGCCCACACGCCTACACACACACACACAACACACACACACACAACACACACACACACACACACACACACACACACACACACACACACACACACACACACACGCACGCACGCACGCACGCACACGCACGCACGCACGCACGCACGCACGCACGCACGCACGCACGCACGCACGCACGCACGCACGCACGCACGCACGCACGCACGCACGCACGCACGCACGCACGCACGCACGCACGCACGCACGCACGCACGCACGCACGCACGCACACACGCACACTTGCGCACACGCGCACACGCGCACACACGCACACACACGCACACACACGCACGCACACGCACACGCACACGCACACCCACACCCACACCCACACACACACACACACACACATACTCCCGCAAACGTAAAGGTTGAAGATTTTCACCAAATAGCAGCAAAGGTGTGCAAAGCATTTTGACCAATTGGATGTCTCTTTTTGAGAGGGTAGGGAGTTGTTTGGGAGGGAAAACAGAACAGGCCCACCCGTTCTGCGGGTCTTTGGAGACAAAATGGGCAGTTCAAAATGGGGGGGATCCCCAATCCTGCCCTCAGTGGTACAACAAGCGCAAGCTCTGGCATAGGGATCAAGGATGCAAAGAAACCCTGCGGGTGTTTCTAAACAAACATGGATTTCGGACCCCTTTTGGATGGCATTTAAAGGGAGGCCAAAGGGAAACCAACCATTTCAGGCAAAAAGGAGCATGTCAAAAGGGGTACGTGCCATCCAAAAGGAGCATGGGTACGTGTCAAAATCAGGAAAGCCCCCCCCCCCCCCGCAAAAAAAAGGAGCACTATGTTGAGAAACTTCACCTCTGCTGATTTCGGCTTTGCCAAGGCACGTTGTCCGATGCTTCTCCGGCGGGTACTTCCGCCTGGTTTTGGTCGAGACCCCGAAGGCGAATCATGTGAGCCATAAGCTTGCCGCAAAGAACATGGGGTGTGAATTCTAGCTAGGGACCCGGATTTATGAGGTGGTTCCCTATCAAAATCCATAGCCATAAGAGAACGGGAGAAAAAAAAGTCCCCCGTTTGTTTCTGGGACATTTAGACTACTGGATATTTTGACCGAACCTCATGTGTGAAGCACTGCTTGCCGGAAACGCAAGGACAAACATGTTTTTATCCAGCTTGATCTATAAGCACTTTGATTCCTGGCCAATCTGCCCTCAAAACGGGCACACCCTAGGCGGGCAACGTTCCCCTCGCCACCACACCCACTTGCCAAGGCAACTGGTCTTGGTCAGGAAACAAAGGTAGCTGTGGCAGGAATCCGAAGCTGAAACTTAGCTTCGACAAATCTCCTAGGCGGCGGGGGGGCATTCACCTGCGATTCGGCAAGGGTCCAAAAAGGCCCCTGAAGGGAAATGCCTGTTGCCGCTTGTGAACCGTTTTCAAAAATGGGCTTACAGCCATGACCTACCCACCACCAAAGTGGGTGTTCACTTTTCACCGAAAGGTGTTGAACCGCAAAATGAGGACATGAGGCCCCCAAAAAAATGATTCCCTGTTGGCTTCCCCAAAAAAGGTTGAGTCCTCTTGGTGTCCCTTCAAAGCAATTCACCCAACGAGACACGCCTAGATTCGCACGCTTGCCCAGCCCCATCCCGCCTGGCTGGCCGGCGCAGTTCCGGGCGGTCGGTGGGCGGAGGGGGTGGGACGGAGCCCCGGCGACCTCAGACAAAGATGCTACAGGACAACACCTACATAAAGCTACTGCTCGTGTACCCCGTGTCAGGCCTTGTTTGTGCTCCAACTGAGGCTACCTTTCCTTCTTGGAGTTCTTAGTGTACAGGGAAACCAAGGGAAGCTGGCACATCTTGAGCCGAGCTCAAGGCCGTCCCAGCACACCGCGACTCCTCGGACAGCATTCATGCAACGCAATTGGCTCCCATGTTTGAAGGCTTAATTCTAAGATGGTTTCCACTCCCCCAAGCCACTACCCGCGTGGTATATACCCTGTTTATGGTGGCTTTATTGCGGCTCTATATCCCACTGAACCCCTGAGGGTAGGGGTTTGGGGCCAGTGAAAACTTATAGGGTTTGAACGGAACACCTAGTCGGATGTATTCACCACTTCTGGCTTTATCATTGTAAAGGGTGTGCGCTTCCCCAAACTCGAAACTTGAGGTCGGGACTGGATTGGTCGTTGCCCCGTCAAAAAGAATGGAAAAAAGCTTTGCGGGCACACGGTACGCAAGGGCAGCCAATACATGTACTCAAGCAGGGGATAGCTCCAGCCTTGGAGGTTCGTTCGGGTTTGTCCCAAAAAGGGGGGAACCTCCCGAGTGGTTGTCCTCCCCGAGCAGTTCTTCGCGGGTTGCTCTAGAGCCAATCCACAGTTCATGGTCTTTCCTGGCTAGTCGCTAAGAGTCACTGATTCGTCACCTCCATTTCTCAGCGCCCCTTGCAAAGCTCAAAATCTTGGGCCCCTCCGTGCTGACGACCAGGCTGTGAAAACAATACAAATAACCATCCCCTTTCGGTTTTCTATTTCGTGCCCAGCAATGTCATGGCTGCCTTACAACAAAACCCGAATCAGCCCTTAGGCCCAAGGAAGATGGGTGTTGAAGGGTTAACCAGAAGGAAACCAATCATCCCATACGCATTCTTGCGGAAACACCCATATGTCACATATATGTCTAACTAAGAACCCTTCCAATGAGTGTCCAAGACCTCTTAGGAGTCTTTCGACCTTTCCTACGAGTACCAGCCCAAAGGGGTTAACCATGGCACCACGTGTGTCAAAAACCAGGGACCCTGTGGATGATGTCACTTCCAACCAAGCCTCGGCAGAAGCAGGATGTCTTTCATATCCGTGCATGTTCCAAAATGGGAAATCTTGTTTGGGATGAGCCATAAAGGGATAAGTCTTCAAAGGAAACCATGGGTGTGTGTTTCCCCTATTTACGAAAGCACCCTTCTGCTAACGGTGGATGCCCTAAAAATATCAAGTAGAGGCACAAGTTGGACACCCCTTGACAGCACAAGCGGGCGACGCGGGCGAGAATTGCGCCTCCTTGCTCCACCACCGGGAAGCTGGGATGTTGGACCTCCCGGCCCAGCAGTTGCCTTGCAGCCTGCAGGCTCCGGCGCAATTTGGCCGGTGGCAGGGATGGCCCCCATTGAAGCGGCATCCTCAAAATTACCCTGCAAGTAGTGGTTCAAAGGCAAATTCCCCAGAAAGAACTCTGGCTGATTGACAAGGCTTCGCTTTTGGCCCAATTCGCAAGATTCTGCCAACATCCGAGGCCAACACACTAGAGCACGGTCGGGGGCGGTCCCGCAAACAAACCTTACTGAGACCGCTTTCTATGGCCTCCCTGGTGAAGGTGATGCCCCTGTCGCGGCGGACCAATCAGGGGGGCACGGACACCTCGTGAAGGAAGTCTCGGGAACAGCATCAGGCGATCCATTGCGTCTGGGCGTACAACTGCCCAAATAGGCAAAATGGGGTTGCAAGACACTTGAAAGACAAACTAAGTCAGGATCATGGGACCAGGTGTGTAGTCATTTAGCCCCTCATTAAAACACAACAACGTCTCCATTCTTTCCAAGCCGAGTCTTTCCAAAAAAGAACATCAAAACGCACACGGGCAGCTGCTCTTCGGAAAAAGAAGGCGGGGAGCAAAGTGAGTGGAGGTCCCATAGACGGCCGAGGTCTCAACACCGAGCCCAAAGGAAGATGCGAGGTCCAAATGGCAGGGGTCACTGGATTTCCCCTTGCGACTTGTTGGAAACTGCCACGGTTGGAGGTCCCCAGGGAAATGGACGAAACCCTGACTCGGTGCCCAGAGTTCGCTGGACGAAAAAACCAGTCCAGGTGATACTCCCAGCACTACTTCGGATCTTTGCAGAAGCCAGAAAGCTTGCAGCTGTTGGGAAAAATGAACTTGCCAACACAGCGAGTCAGAACGGGAACCCAAACGCCAACCACCCAAATTTCAGAGGGACCCGGGAGAAAACCCAAGTAGCAAGGTCAATCACGCAAGGAATTCCCCATCCCAGGGAAACCAAGAACATGGCTCCTGCTGATTGACCAGGGGTGGAGGAGACCCCTCTTCGCCGCAGTCCTCGCCTCCTCCACCGACCAGGCCGCCCCCTCTGGCAAGACGTTCTCCGCCTGTGATGCCAAAACGGCACGATCAATAATTACAGTGGGGTTGTGGAGTACTTTAGCTCTGTTTGCAGGAGTAAGTTTATAGAACTTACTTTATGCTGCCTTTTCTAGAGTTGCTTTCCAAAGGGGGTGCTGCTCGAGGGAAACCAACTCAACAAAAGGGGAAGCCACAGGGAAACGCAAGGCGATTGTCTGGCGCTTGAACCTGGAAGCCAAAGGTAAACCACCCATTTCGAGGCGTATCCTCCGGCCTTACGGCCTGGTATTTTTGGGCGGTTTTCAAGGGAACCCCGGAGCACAACACCCCTTTTGGGGATTCCTTGATTTGGAGGCGTAACCAATCGTTTGCAGGCGTGGCCTTGTTTGGCTTGATTTTGTTTCAGTGGGCATATTGAATTGCTTGCTTTCCTTGGGGGCGGAGTCTTGAGGTTGCACGCAGGGTCCCTGAATAAGCCACACTCCTGAAATAAGAATCTGAGAGAAACCAAAGCGGGGCCAGTGCAAACTGAAACAGGAGGCTTGTCAAGAGGGGTAGCTATTTTTCACCGGGGTTCACCTGGATCTTTGCTTCATCTTGCAATTGTGGATGATCCTGCTGCTAGCTTGTCATTGGCTGAGTACATTGACACCAGAGTCACGGGGGTCGATCTCTGGAACCGGACAATGTTATAAACAACCACCAGATGGGGCATCCCATTTTCTCATGTTCTTTTAGGGCAACACGTTTTTTTCCTTGCTCATGCTGTGAGCATGTTTAGAAAATATGTTTAATGCTGTAGAAGCCTCATGCAAAGGACAAGCGAGGCGGCCTTTTTTGAGGTACGACTGGGCAGATTAGTGCGACGCTTTGCGACCAACACCAGCTAAATCCGACTATAGGGTTGTATCAAATATTTCTTTGTCATTGTCCATGATGAAGGTCCTACTTATGGGTTCCTTGCTTTCAGGTGTGTGACTTCTCTTGGGCCAGGGAAGAGATCCGCACCTATTTGTGATTGCGGCTGAACCTATCCTTCATCTACCCAGGGTTTGATTGTGGCTAATCTTTTGCGACCTTGATGCGACCCCCCCCCCTAGAAACCAAACATCCGATCAAGCCGCTTTGGGTTGTAAGATGGCACCCCCTCCTTCCGAGGGGTTCTAGATTCTTTGGGAGCCCTGTTTAATTCATCAAAATGGAATTGAATTTTGATTGGGGACCTTTTGGTGGACATTTAGGTGGGGATGCATGTCCACCAACCTCTCTTGAATGGATTTCTATTGCAAATCATGGCAAAATGGTCGCAAAGGCAAGCTTAGGCTCTCACCGCCTGAAGATCCACGTTGTTGCCCGCCAAGCGCATTCTTGGATCCTCGGGGACCGGAAACCGAGTCCGATCTGCCGAACCGATGCGGCGGGAATTTCGCTGGACCCTTTGGTCATATTGTAAAGTTCCTCGGACTCAGCCTTTGGGACCCCTCCACGCGCCCACAAGACCGAGCCGGCAGGGGTGCTCACCAGGGTTGGGCGCCAAACCCGCTGAGCTTGTGGTAACTGAAGGTCAGTCCACAAGGGGTACATTCATTTGGGTCTCCTGGATGAAAGGAAGCCAGGCACTTTTTGGGTCCCCTGTTTTAAGACGCACTTATTGCCAGCTTAATTGAACATTAAAAAAGATGAGTATGCGAGTAGCGGGGACGCGTCCAAAGCTTTGGAACCCGGATCTCAAAGCATCAGGGAACCCACCCCAGGGATGTAAATTGTATCCTGACATTCCTGGCATTCCTTTCGGCTCCACTAGGCCCTAAGGTCCCACATGGTTCAGCAACGTTGAATTCTTCAGGCCGTTCCAAACTTAAAATTGGCCAAGCCGATTATGTTTGGAAACCACTGCCAAGCCAAAGGAGATGGCGGATTGCATCCTTGAACAGCCTAGACTAGAGCTTCCTCCCTTCACTTCACCCATCATTCTTAACAAAAAAAGGCATCAAACATCCCCCGGAGATTTTGATGCCGAAAACAAGGATCAAACACTCCCCCTCAGGTTTTTCCATGCCACGTCCTACATGGCTTTCGGGCTGTCCAGGCCCTCAGTTGGGCTCCCTCGCAGTCAAGGGCACCAAAAAGCCCAGCTCGTCCACAAAGGCCTGGCCAAGCCCCGTGCACATTGCAACATGGAACCAGAGAAATGGTCCCTGAGGACAACGGCCTTCCGGATCAGGGAGGGTAAGCTGCTTCATAAATCCCCCTAAAGATCCGGGTGGCTGGCAGGGAGGGTCCGACCCCTTGACACCTCAAATAGCTCCGTTTGAAGGTCCGGAGCCTTTGATTAGGGAAAGATACTGTTGTGTTTATCAGAATGGGTCCCCTAGTCCCCTAAAACTGTTGTTTGTTTGTTTTGTTTGTTGCTTTTTGTTTTTTTCCCGTTTGGTTTCCCTGTAAATACCAAAGCAGGTCCACCATTCTGAGAAACCCTAATATGCTCCTGGCTAAAATCAGGCGCACCCACCTGGGCATGCGGTAGATGCGCGGGTGCATCTTGGGGGCGCATCGCAACTGCCGTGCTGAACTGCATTGCAAAACCGGCGTTTCCGAGTTCAGCGTGTGTCCCTGAAACTGGAGGAAACAAAGTACGAAGCCTTCCAAGTCATACTCGACTCAAAACCTGGTATATTGTTTTTGGGATATCCGCACCTATGCTTGGAAATTATTGTTTCTCAAATGTGGCTGATGCGGCATTGGTGTTTACTCACGCCGACTCGCATGGCTTCAGTTGGCTGAGCAGGTTGGCACTCCAAGGATCTTGGAAACTGCACCCTCTTGGGACAGTATCTTGATCTGAAACTGTCAGGCATGGGTACGAAAAGCTGGCTCAAAGGCCAACAGAACTAGAACCCCCTTTCTTTGTTGGCGTCTTGACAGGGTTGTGCCGGGCGCAAAACCGAAACCGACCAAAAGCGTTCACTAAATTTATTGAGGTTTGGCGAGATTTTAGGAATAGCTTGGAGTAACCTGCTTGATCTTGCCACCGCAGTTGCCCCTTTGACGCTGGATGCTTGTTGCGACCACTGGTACGGTGGATGCCCCAAAAATTGCTAAGTCTAAACAACTCAAAAGTGGCTCCTGGCTTCTATCAATACTGAAGAGAGTCAATCGCAGCTATTCCTGTGTTGTTGCTTGCAGCCATTGCTCTTAAGCAAATGGGTGATCATTCGTCGCACCTAATCGCGGACTAAGACACGGACCGTCACCATACGCAAGAACATGTTGGGCTGTTGCAAATTGAAAGGGCGGAACCCGATTTGTTCAGGCGTCACTGTTCAGATCCAGTTGCCTGATACGTTGCCTGATGCCTTCTTAGGCTGCGTGGTGGCTTCTTAGGTTGTTTGCTTGGCTGTTTGGCTTGATGACTGGCTGGCTGTTTGGTCGCCCGGGCGCATTTATCAGCACACACTTGGCGGTTCCTCAAACAGTCTTTGTTTTCCAAGCAAATGTCTTCAAGTGACACCGTAACAGGGATTTGGACCCGCGAATCATTGGGTCCCCTTCCGTTTTCTTTTTGAACCAAGCTGAAACGGGCCGTTGAAAAACATACACTTTCATTTGTATATGGGTTTGTCTCCAGCGCAACCTCCAAAATTGGTTAACTATTTGCCCTTGTTCCCTTTGGTCCCAGGTTGGAGCTATAGGTTTCCCGAAGCAATCCATCTGGTGCCAATCAGCCAAGGCCCACCGTCCTTCCCAAGGGATTCAGGAAACCGGGAGGGAGATTCGGGGTTGGGAACGGAACAAGGGAACCCTTTTCAGGGAGTGATCATGCGCAGTGTGTGAACAACTAGGGTATACTACCAGCTACCATGGAAGCGGAAACGGAAGACAGTCCATTTTAAGGGGTCTGTGCACCAACCCATGTTTGGCGAGGCGATGCCCTCTGAAAAAGACACACCGAGCTCTCACCACGCCATGGTTGTGGAAAATCGCCATTTCTGTGATATCAATGTTGGATTCCCCTCCCCACGACTACCCGATGACTTTAAAAGGGACTCCTTGGCATCACAGAAAGTGGCCCTGAACCCCGATATTCCACAACAATGGCCTCAATACCAATTGGTGAAGCCACAAAGGAGACCTCCATATTTCCCTTCTTAGCCCAAAAGGAATCTTGCCACCCGAGAGCCGAACGAAAAAGACCACACGCGCCCAACAGAAGGCGCCTCGTTGCCGGCCACGTGCAGCCCGAAGAGGGTGTGGTTGCGCCGGAGCCCGGCGGCGATCACGGAGCAGTCCTCGCTCTAAAAGAAACAAATATACCTTCCGAGGCCTCGAGAGAATAAAAGACATAAAGGAACGACAAACAATCCACGAGGGTGTTGAAAGATGTCAAAAGTTATGCCGCTTAACTCACTTCCATGAGGTCCTCAATTCCCATGGAGTTGTAGGAGATGTCGAGGTGGAAGAGGTTGTCATTGTTCGCGAGCACATCGGAGAGCATCTGTCAAAGTTAAAGCCAACTGAGAAGCCTATAAAACCAAAGTTGGCTGCACGCCTCGTCCAAACAGCCAGGGCACAGCCCTCTTTAAAGCGGAGCGAAAAAGGAGGTTGCTTCGACAATATGTGTTTAAGCAGTGTGTAAACAGGTGGTCAGCGGCCACGCGAAAAGAAAGGAAACGGAACACATCCCAAGGCCGAAGCAGCGTGCCTGACAACCTTTATACAACCTTTGGGGCCCTCTATCGCAACTCAAAAGCTTGAAAGCATGAGCCCGGGGCCATCATTTTGGCATTTACGAAGTGAGTGGCGGAAGGACTCCAAGATTGACCTTGATAACCGTTGAACACATGGCCAGTCACGAGCCCAGAATCCGAAGATTGGCTTGCCTTTGTTCGTTTCAATCTGTTGAAATGCCTTCTAAAAGAGGCTAAAATTGTCGGGCACTCCCCAGTCCAGCTAACTTAGCGGGAAGCTTCAGAGGGGCTCATTCCTAGTGATCCGATCCACTCCATGAATTTCTCGCGCAAGCCCAAGTCGACCAGGGTTGTGGGTCTGGGCAAAACCCCATCACACACCCGAAATCAGGAATCCGCTCGGCGCCTTCAGTTGGGTTGCCTTTATCCACCCTGGCTTAGTCAACATGGCATTAAACAAAAAGGAAGGTTCCCCACCCACACCCCCCAAGAATGCAAAGGGTGGTTCCCCCACGTGATATTCAACAACCAGTTATTCATCCTGGGTTCCCTGTACCTGCTTCCCTAGTCTCTGGGCTGTCAATTTGCTTGGATCTTTGTAGTGGTTAGCCAAACGTCTGGCTAATATCAGGGCCTGAACAATCCACTACAGACACTAGTCTCAACTGATCGTGACTAAGGACCCCATTCGAATCATTTGGGCCCTTGCACTTCTTCTGCCCATCAGGAAAATTATCTTCCCCCTAGCAGCATAGCCCACAAACCTGCTCATTTCGTGTCTGCCTTGGCCGGGCTGCAGTGCTTGGCACCGGTGCCCAGGCGGTTCCAGCTCAGGTCCACGCGCGACAGCCTGGCGAATTCTTGGTCAAAACTCCTTCTAGGACACATGGTGGGTGCCTGAAAACAGATCCAACCCCGTAACTTTTCAAAATATAGTGCCACGGTCAAAACTGCTGAGCCTGCTTGAAAAAAGGTGGAGTCGTCTGGGGAAAACATGGTTTCATGCTAGGGGAATAATCCCCATAAGGACGGCTATTGTCCCCTGCCCAAAAGATTGTTTCTTGCAAGCAGTTGGCAAAAAACACGTTCAACCAAAAAGTTAAAGGTTTAAAGTCACATAGCATTGTGTGGCATGGTCACACCTCCTTCTGACCAGCTGAGTTGAATGCCCGCTCCTATCAAGGGTCCATGACCGTCCCTATAGCAACCAACACCAAGTAAATGGGAGTGTTTATTGTCGCATAGCGTAGCTTGGGGTTTTCGAAGGTTGGGGGGGTTCCCAAACCAAAACTCTTGTGACGTCGCTACAATTTACCAAAGAGGATTGCACTTTCCGGGGGTGATGGTTGAAAGGGAAACATGCGTAAACTGCCAATTCTGGGGAGGGTGCCCTTCCCGTAAAAAAAAAAAAAAAAAAAAAAAAAAAAAAAAAAAAAAAAAAAACCTTCCCCCTGGCGTCCCATCCCCCATTCCATCCCATCCCATCCGACTGGAAGAACGCACCTGCCGCCGCCGGCCCGGTTGTCATAGAGGCCCTCCAAAAGCTTGAACCTCGGCTTTGACAAGTCCCCGACATTTCTTCTTTCTTTTTTTTTTTTGCGAGGGTTCAGCCATCCTTTTTGGCCCGTTTGGGCTTGAATTGCAATTGGGGGCCCTGTGCTGGACATCAGTTAGGTGGAGATCCATGTCCACCAACCACTTCAACCACTTTTTGGGGGTTCCCCAACAAAATTCATGGGCTATTTAAGGTGAGTTCCCTTGAAAGAGGGTGAAGCTTCAAGGAAAAACATCAGGAACCCTGAAAGCGGGGATGCGAGACACGGTCAATATTCCTGGTGTCTCCCAATGACATGGGATCTCGGTGAGCACCCCCAATGTCTTCATGTGTCCGTCAGTGCGTTTCAGGTCACCCCCTGTGCTAGTTATGGGCTCAACCCCCCATGTTCTGTTCTCCAACTACTCAAATGATGCCCTCTACGGACATGTGGGTACATCAGGGTTCGTCCTCTGATTTTTGTGGGGACTTTGTTGCACCCCCCCCCTCCAAAGTTGACCATAGACTATATCTTGTGACCGAACCTCAGAAGGGTGGACTTAGCAACCCTTAAGGACGCAAGGGGTGCTGATTCACCTACCCAAGGGAAACAAAAGGAATTGAGCCTAGCCCAAACCAAAGCTTCGCCAAGGGGCGCCCCCAGGCCGTTGAAGCTGTTCCAGTGCAGGTCCAGCACCTGGGCCAGTTTTAGGTATGGGGTTTTGGAGGGAGGTCACACACCGCTTTTTATAAGTGGGTATATATTGCCTTGTTAGCTTGTTTTGGTGCTATGTAAGCGTCCATACCTCCAAAACCCATACCCGGAAATACCCCTTTATCCATCAGGGCTCCTCAAACGAGAAGGGATCCTCAACTCGAGGACGTAGGTCCTCTAGTTGAGGAGCCCTTATTTTGTAATGTTACCCGAAACCGGCGATGTTTAAAGCATCCCAAAAAGGGAGCATAAGGACCCTGAACCCAAATGGAGGATCCTGAAAAGGAGACTCCTCTAAACATTGTCAGACTGAGCTGCCCTTTTTGAGATCATGGCGTTTGTTTGTATCCTCAAATCGGTGAGCTCGCAATATCACAGGCAGTCAGGGTTGCTGAATCGGTACATCCAAAAAATACCTGGGTTTTAAGGGATCATGCGACCTCGCTTGTGATGCTCACTTAAAAGCCTCCCAAGACTACCCTCCCATCCCCGCTTCCTGAGTGGATTGGCCAAAGAAAGCTAATTGTCGTTTGTATTTGGCGAATAGGGGTCCTGGTCTGGACCCTGCCCCTCCAAAGAGGCTGTCTGATGGGTTTAGTGGTAGTGGACGGAAGAGCAATTCCCCGTAAGAAATGGAAGGCTCCTTGAACCACAAAAGTCAGAACGACCCAACCTTTGAGCAAATTACTATCATTCATCAAACCGGAAACTCAGAATCCGCAAGCAAGGGACTATGCCGCGTGGGTGAGCTTGTCACCATCCCTAGTTCAATTTGACCACATCGCAGGGGTCCTGGATTCTTGTACAATAGAAGTGGGAAAAGCTCATTCCCCCCAGACCCCCAAAAACCAGAGGAAAAAGGCACCCCTCTTTGAGCGTCCAGCGCGCAGGAACTTCAGGTCGCCGATCATGGCCCCCAGCACCTGGCTCTATCTAAAAAAAAGCAGGGTTCCCGAGTCCACGTCGATTACAGAAAACACCGACATTTTGATCAGGGACCCTTTGTGGACACCATTTACATGAGGTCTGCCAACCATCTTGGAGGGCGGTTCACATTAAGGCTGAGAAAGGGGAAACTGAAATGAAGCGGGCATGTCCGTGATTTGGGACTGTCTTCAACAAGAGAACTCTTTGTTTGGATCCCTAATTACAAGCCAAACCCAAATGGTTCAGAACAAACCGGGTTATATTCTGGAACTGCTTCATCTTTGATATTCTCTGATTCAGACCCTCCCCCCAGGATAGGGACAGGCTTAGTACGCGCCAACCTGAGTCAAGACACGGTGGAAAAAAGAAGGTGTACAACAACATCATAATTTTAAGGCCGGCCGCTTCTATTCATGATTGGGAAGTGACTTGCACTTACACTGGCTTTGGTCTTGGTCCCTACATATTTCTTGAAGACATCGTCCCACCAGGTCACCACCAACACACACCTCAGGTCAACATGGCCCAAAAGACAATCTTTGAACCGCCCACAAAGCGAAATTCAGAAAGGGCCGAAATACTTAGTAGGGTGGTTGGGGTACGTTACAACCATGCTTTGTCATCTCCCCAACAGCAACAAGAACCTCATTTTAGCTTGGCTCAACAAAGGGAAACATAAGCACTCCCCAAGTTGGGTCCACGGTCAAAATGAGAGCAACAAGTTAGGCTATCAGAGTGTACTAAGAGATCGTTTGGGGCCGGGTGGGTGGAGAGGACTGTGGAGGTTCCCTCCCATTTAGGTTCAGCCAGAAACCAACAATTTCGGCTATCTTTTGGCCCTTGAACTAGCTCAAAAACGGCATTAACTGCGAGCATAGATCTCAAGTGAGTTTCCCAAGCTGAAAACATCACCCCGCCAAAACCATTCAGCCGACCCCCAAACCCTCTACCTGATGCCCACCCAAAATCCAAATCGGCCCTAAACCCATCATGCAGCATGCCAAACGAAGACTAAACCAATGCTAAAGCAATTTATGACCTACACTGACAAAACTGCTGACGCCCAAACTGGCTCAATTGCCCCAAATCTGACAAACAACCCACCAACAGACCACCAGAGCAATAGACCAACAAACTAATAGACCAACAAACCAACCTACCTACCTACCGACCGACCGACCGACCCACCCACCCACCCACCCACCCACCCACCAGCCAGCCAGCCAGCCAACGAAGGAGCCGGCAAGCGAAAACGACACATCCGCGCCTTGCCCAGCTCGTGATTCACCCGGCCAAGCCTGCCACTTGGCTGGGAGAAAAGCCGCGACAGGTTCGATAGAAGCTACTACGAGGGTGGTGGCCAGAATACCGCCACATCTTTAGGTTTCCCCAGGAAACCAACCAAGTAATTATCGCCTTTACAGGAAGCATTTACATTTGTCACGCGATGCAAGAAAGGGCCCTGTCAAAAGAGGCTGTGTGGCAATTGCATTTCGCTTTTGCGGTATGAAACAGCTTTCCCAATGACGAATTCTTCTTGGAAAAGGAGCAACGGATCCCTGGCATCACACAAGTGGGAAACATTCCCTAATTCTCACAGCCCCTATGGCATGAGGCTTGTAAATGACCAAACATGACCATAATCTAGAAGTCTGCTTATCATACAAGTACTTGATTACATATTTATCAAACCCAGTTGTCCCACTTAGCATGACCATCTTCTACACAAAGAGGGCTGGACAAACTTCACCGGGACAGCTGCTGCATCTTGAAGCTCTTCAGCAGACATCGATCTCTTTCGGAGCAAAACCGAAGCAAGTTTCCTGACTTGGGAACAAGTCGGCGCTGCCCAAGATTCGGTGGTTGCCACGCGTATTGTCTAAACACCCCCCTTTTGGTTTCCCTTCAAAGGGGACCAGGGGTGGCTCTTTAAACAAAATTTGCCAAACCCTTCTGCTGTTGATCGTTTCTGGGGGTGTGGCGAAGTCAGAAACTGAGGTTGTTTCCCTTAGCCTACCACCTAAACAAAGGCCACACCCACCTAACTCCACCCCGCTAAAAGGACGCCGCAAAAAGGTGATGCTCACAGCAACAAAGACGGCCCCACCATCCAATCCCCGAAGCTGACAGGGCCAGAAGACTTGCCTTTCCTCCAATCAGAGAAGCTGACAGGGTTTGAAAGACTACATCCGCTGAGTTCTGGGGAAGACCCAAAACGATGTGTTTCCTTTTGCTTGATTCACTTTCCCTTGAAAGGGGGTCCACTTTGAGACCCTTCCCCCCATCGGTTTCCCCCGCGCCCGTTCTGCGCCAGGCTCAGGGCCCGCAGCTCGGGGGCACGGGTGGACAGCGCCTTCGAACGCGGGGGAGTTTAAAACGGGTGGCCTTTGGGACAGGAAAGGGAGGGGAGCTGATTCCCCAAGTGACTTACCTTAAAAAAAAAAAAAAAAAAAAAAAAAAAAACGAAAGAAAAAACGGGTACATCCTGTTGCTGTCAGGGCTGGATATCAAAGCCTTGCAAAGCGGATAGTTCGTATAAGCGCTAGCAAAGCCCTCTTGGGAGACGGAAAGACAAACGTTGGCAGAAGTTCCTGCGTTGAATGGCACATCCTCATGCGACTGTTAGACGAAACTAGGCTAAGCCCGTTGCTGCAAAAAGCACAATGAAACCTTCACAGTTTGGCGCGATGGCATGGGGTGCCCTAAAATGCAGAGGTGATTCTGTGGCCCATCCAAACATCGCACCTTCACTTAGAAAGTCATTAATGCCAAGAGAAGATCGGCCATCGGCATGGGGCCGTCTGCCTTTCTCATAGCCTTCGTTAATGCTCCCTTCACCCTAGGTCAACGTCAGGCTGGCCCAAACCATTGGCCCGTGAAATCGAGCAGGCCACCCCCCACCCCCCCCTCGCAAGAAAAAAAGAGAGACAAATGCTTACAAGCAAGCCGACCTCCCAACCCGGCTCCGACCACCCCCCCCCCCGCCACCCCCAACCAGGCAAAAGGACCCCCGCAACCGAGTCCCAAGTTCGAGCCAAGCCGCGCCGACAAAGTTGCAGAGGTCCCGCTCGTACGCGTCCGCCACCACGCTCGCGCCGAATGGCGTGCCCAGGCGGTTGCCCTAGATGGCCCCAAAAGGAGCGATGCAGTCGGAGAGGGTCGGCGAAACGGCACAAATTGGGTGGGGCCTTTTTGCTGTGGTGACTGCTAGGGGTTGGACCCGGCGGTTTTGACAGGCTGCACTTGCTAGGGCTGAGCAAAGCTGTTCAGGATTGACATCAAAGGTCTTCTTTCTTCCCATCCACTGGCATGTAACTGGCTTGCAGGGAGTTCCAGCCACGAGCAAATTGCTGCTGGAACGCCAGCCTCTTTTTTTTAAGGAACGTGGCTTGATTGAAGTAAACAACCCCGACTTTACCAAAAGTTGATCGAAGCCATTGCTGAGGAATGTGACGCACCAAGTTTGCGGAGGTTTTAAAGGCCGAATGCTGGGGCTGTTCTCTGAAACCAAGGGGAAACCGCCCATTTGACTGATGTTTGGAAAACCACAAAGAAACCCACTTTCCCTGGAGAGCCAAACCTAATCATCATGGGGGCTGGGCGGGAGGGAGGGAAAGGGGAGGGAGCTCAAAAAAATATTATTAAGCCCTTATTAAGGCCTTATTTAGAGCCTATTTGGGCTCCCCCCTCCCCCTCCCCTCCCTCCCCCCCAGCCCCCATAAAATCAGGGTGGTCCTTTTAACATGGGACAAGGCTGGGTTCCATTACCTCCAAAAGGAAACCAGACTCACCTTTAGGCAATCGTGCAGTTCTCCCGTCTGACAAGCTTGGCATTCCTCCTCTTGGATTGGCCATACATTTTTGTCCAGCAAGGCAATAGTCTGACCCCGGATTACTCTCATCCGCTCACCCCGAATCAATCCCATCCTATTCATTGGGGCGAGGCTTCTCCAAAATCCCTCCCCCGCAACGGGTCACCCCCGTCCTGCAAATTCAGCTCCAGGAGCGGCGCCACCGTGATCTTCCGCAGGGCCGCCTCCTCGATAGCGCAGGTGTCGACCCAAAAAGAGCCCAGGGTCGCGGCTTGCCAGGCTGAAGCGAGGTTGTGTTTGGCTTGTTAAGTCTTTTGGTTGATTCGTGTTGTTGTTTGGCTTGTTTGGCTTGTTGAGTTTTTGGGTTTGTTTGGCTTGTTTGTAGTTTCGTTCGTGGCTTGCTTGTTGCTGGTGCTTGCGTGCGGAAACAAATAAACAACACGCTGAGTTTGTTCAGACGTTTAAAGCTTCGTGACCTACCCAGTTCTTCGTATCAGCGTTCTTCAAGAGGTCCAAGCGCCTGCCCAGGTCGATCTCCGGGCCGCAACCTCTGGGGCCCCCACAAAGTCACGGATGCCCTTCTGCCCGATGAAGTTCTGCGCGAGGTTCAGAGCCTCCCACAAGCCGCGGAAGACGCGTCGAGTGTGTCCCTAGTCTTTGCTTGACCCAACTCTGGGGTTCGCCAAAAACAATAGTAGCTTCAAATGCTGCTTGTAGTGGCGTCTAAATTATTTGTTCATATTTAGTCAAGCTGAAAATATAGACTGTTGTCTGAGGAGACCCCTGTTTAGAGCCCATATACTACAACTGTCCGACCACAAAACCTGGAAAGCAGGATTTAAAACCTGACCCGACAACAAATCTGGGACCAACAAACCACTTTTCTCCTCCGACATTTCTGGCTGCTCCCATTCGACGCGATCGTCAAAAGCGCAGGAGTTTGGTCCCTGGTGAAGGGAACCTAAAGGCAACTAAACCAAGTGCGGTCATGTTTCAGTTGCTTGGAGCAGCCCTGTTGTTGTCATGCTTTGTTGAGTCATAAACAAATAAAACTGCTATCTCAAAAAATGCAGCAAACATGATTCCAAACCTAAAAATCAACATCACCCTAATTTGGGGGGAAATCTGGCACACCTCCAAGAGGAAACCATTACCCTGTTTCCACAAATCATGGGAGTGCATAGGACACAAATATTTCCCAATGAGGTGATTAGTCTTGAAAATGCCAATATTGGTTTCCAATTGAGCAGCGCACACCCACTAACTCGTAGTTCTACACAGTGTTAAAGGCCTATCATTGTATGGGCCTTACAGCCACCCAATGTCGACCCCGAATTATATGAACGGGGTGTTCTCCTGAAGGTTTGTTTGCCGCTGCAGATTCGCCCCGCTGCTCTCGGGGCGCCTCTGCCTTTGGCAGCAACTTCTCGCAGATGATGGCCACTGACCGGTCCTTCCGGGTGGGTGTATCAAAATGGAGCTGAACAGCGTACACACGCGCACACACACACACACACAAATGTGGTTCCAGCATGGAAGCTGACAGTCCATGGCAAAGTGGGTAAGACCCTGGTATACGCGCCTTTTGGGGGTGGTTCCTTGACAACCACAAGTTTTACTACCCTAATCCCCGCATAGAAGTGGTATATAACCATATATACCTTGCACAACCACAAAACAACCTGAAAATGTCTCACTATACTGTGGTGGAGGCAAAAATTGACCAAGGGGGAACTCACTCTCCCGAAAGCCCCTTTGGACTCATTGTCTTGAAACACATGCCATGCTTTTCGGGTTCTGGGTTCAGAATGGATAACTTAGCCTGCTAGAACCAAGGGCTGATGGAATCTCCAAAGAAGCGTCGACCAATAGACAGGGTTGCCCCCACCCTGGTTAAAACAGATTTTTTAACACCCCTTGTTTAAACGATTTCCCTTTAAAGGGGACCAGGGTCAGGGTTTTTCAACCTGTTTTTGCCCCACCCTACCGATACACCCATAGGCCGCTTGAAGCTTGAGTCAGCGTTGACGATCATTCTTGGTGTCTCTGTGGCTCGTGGGGCCAAGGAAAAGGGGAAGAAGAAACCATCTTAGACTCCCTCTGAAATTACATGGGGGATATATCGGCAACAAAAATTGTCCCATTCAACTCGGTGGCGGCTTGGGGGAAGCAAACCAATTGGTGGATTTCTGGAAAGGATCACAATGCGAAGTACATCTGGGCCAACCTGTTTGAACATGTAATCGCTGTTCGATCCTCTTGGAAGTTCCCCCGAGAACATCCTCACCCCTAGTTCTGCATGATGATGCTAGGGGTCAAGTCCAAGGAAAGGTCGTTTGAACCCAAATTGGCGCCAAATTTCGCTTCACCAACCAGACCCGATTCGGCTTCCTTCAAAGGGAAACCATAAGGAGGCGGCTTTGCACAGCCTTTTGGTTGCATGCCTCAACCAAGTAACCCCCCGAAAAAAGACACAAGCGTTCAACCCTGAACCTAGGATTCAAAGCGACTTTGTCTTTGTTCATCATTTTAGTCAGGAGCAAACGTTGACCCAGCAGGTGGTATCCCGAGCCCGGAACTCCCTGAAACCCTCCCTAGCTGCCCTGAACCACTCTGGTGACTGACAAATGTGCTCTCAACAAATTGCGGGGGAAGCTGAAAATGGTGTGTGTTTGAGGGGAAGGGGAGATGACCCCCCCCCCGTTGGTTGGTCAAAGACTTAGCTGTTTGTTTTTTTTCAATCAAGGCCTCCCAAAACCATATTGAAAACTTGCGTGACCGACCGCTAACTCTCGCCCGGCCCGCCGACCGGCAGCCGAGTCCTCGATGCGGTTGGCCGAGAGGTCGCAGCGGGTGCAGTGCTCCACAGCTCCAGGGGCCTGAGCCCAAGGCAACCCATCTGAAGTCAGACTTATTTTACATGGTCAGGGAAAAATACAGTGTGCAAGGACGTGGGTTTACATATAGTGTCTGACAGGTATGGCGTTGGTTTTTTGGTGCGGCGAAATGGTTGGCGCAATTGTTATATACATATGTATATAGGGGTATACATATGATATGGCTGTTAAATAGTGGTCCGCTAAGATGGTTGTCTTCCAGATGGGCTCCCTTAAATACAAACTACAAGGGGTCCGCCATTTTGAGAAACACTCAGAAGATATCCAACCAGTTTGCGCTCGCTCCTCAGTCCTTCATTGGAGGACCGTCCACCACTACTCTGGCCTGGGAAAGGCCAATCCATTTCCCCAGCCTGTTCTAGCACTGATATGCTGTCATGTGATGTGATTGGATTGGTTTTGATGGGATGTCATGTGACGCTGCCATGGAATGCGGTGATGTGACATGATGTAATGTGAACATTTGGTGTGATGTGATTCGCAAACATAGAAGATATTACCCCTTGACTGTCTATATTATCTGAGCATTTTTGCATGGCCCGGCAAGGATCATATAGAACCCCCGGTTGAGGTTTGCGTTGGAAAAAGGTTTTGGGAGGTACGACTTTTCTTAGAGAGAGAGAGAGATATGTGTGTGTGTGTGGGTGCGTGAGAGCGCGTGTGAGTGTGTAAGTGCGTGTGGGTGTCTGTGTGTGTGTGTGTCTTCAAGTTGGGGCCCACAAAAGGGTGGTTTCCATTGTTCTCCCTTTCCCTCCAAGAAAGACACGCCCATATGGCTGTGGCTTAAAATTGGGAAGCCATAAAAGGTACCCGCAAACAAGTATGGGTCTGTCTTTTTTGGCGGCCTCCATTTTTGGGCTTGTTCTAAAGGTAATCCAAAACATCTTCGGGATCGCAATGTTGAGAAACACGCATAAGTGTGTTTGTGTGCACACCCATCAAGTTGTCCTTTTTGGAGGGAACTCCATTTGGAGTGGGTTTTCATTTTGGGGTTCCCCTTTCAAAAAGAACCCAGATATGTGTGCGTTGGTAAGGTATTATAGCACTGCATGCGTAGCCAGCCTGGCAAAGCATCTCCAGGCGCTCCGAACCCAAGCTCCAGCCTCAAGGCGCAGGGTCAAAAAGCATGGTGCCAGGATGTGTCTTTGTTTGATCGAGGTCTGGATCGTAGACTGGCCTCGAGCTTTGGCGGAAGCGAAACCAAGGACTCGACCTTACACTCAAACGCTTGTTTTGCGAGGGCACAGTTCGAATCGGTGGTTCTACAGCAAGGCAATGCCATCGTTTTGGGGGTCCCATATACTTATTCAGAGTCACCCAGGCACAAATGATGGTTCCCAACAAATACATCCAATCAGGGCTCCAATTCCTCCAGTCTGATAAATGTGATTAACACGGCCAAAACTTCTTCTGAGCACCCTGTTCAAAATCGTAGCTGAATGGTTCTGGCTAAAAAATGAAACGAACCCGTGAATGAAACCGAGCGGAAACCCCGCATTTTACGAGGTCCCTTATTTTTGGACACAGGCAAATAGTCGTCCTTTTCTCATCGGGCATCCTTCAACCATTGTCGACAGGTGCGGGGATTATGGGTGTGACTCTTTCCAGGATTAACGTGACAATCCTCATATTGAGCCGCCAAAACTGTTTCAAAGGCGTCCCCCTACCGAAAGCAGTAACTTTGACAACCTCTCAAAATACCACTTTCCGGGATCCAATTCAAAGCACTTTTTGTGATGCTAGTGATTTGCTTCGTCCTAGTGAGTGAGCAAGTCGCGCACCACGACTTCTGACTGGGCTCCCCCGCCCCCAAAGTTCATGACACCCGGCTCCACCTGCTGACCCAAGATGCAAAAGCCCATGCGGGTGTGTGCGTGTGCGTGTGCGTGTGCGTGCGCGTGCGCGGGCGCGTGCGCGTCGGCGTGCACGTGGGCGTGGGCGTGCGCGTGGGCGTGCGCGTGGGCGTGCGCGTGGGCATGCGCGTGGGCGTGCGCGTGGGCGTGCGCGTGCGCGTGCGCGTGCGGGTGCGCGTGCGGGTGCGCGTGCGGGTGCGTGCGGGTGCGCGTGGGTGCGTGTGGGTGCGTGTGGGTGCGTGTGGGTGCGTGTGGGTGCGTGTGCGCGTGTGCGCGTGTGCGCGTGGGCGCGTGAGCGCGTGGGCAGCAGGCCAGTTCTATTTTCGTGATTATCAAGATTTATGTAAGCTTTGCTAGAATCCTCGTAAACCCTCGTAAATAGAATCACCTGCTAAAACGGCCAATTGGGGGTTTTGAGCAATGACACGTCCATCATTTCACGGTACTCGCTGCTCTCCCACCCGGGTTTCGACCGAACACTTGGATGTCCGGCCACTAGGTGGTAAGATTCTTAGACACGTGTCCTAGTTGAATGCAGTGTAACCTTAACCACAATAGTCATGCAACCGGAGTTGCCTTCTTCCAACAATCACGGAAGCGGACAGGTGGCTTCCACAAAAGGAAAGGTTACATGGGGGACTGCGTAGCCACGCGAAGATCCAAGGCACCCTTCTCACCAGTCCCCATGATCACCAGTCTCAAGCTCATGCGGTAGTCTTTGGAAGGCCATTATGCCAATGGAATCACACGGACACTTCCTCACTTCCTCTTTCAGGGGTTCCTGTATTTCCGTCTCTGGTGGGTTTAAGCATCACTTGTTGGGCCCCTACAAAATGAGCTTCTGTTGGCAGAGGTGAAGCTTTGAGGGGCAAGATAGGAAACCCTGACACCGCCGGCAGGCCACATGTGATGCAGTGCGGGCGAGGCACCGTCACAGGGTCCATCACCGGCTGCGAGCGTCCCTAGCAAACTCTATCAGGAACCCTACCAGTCCCCCAACCCTTGAGGCAAACGCGTGGCGCCCTCGAACACTAGTAGATTCTTCCAGGAATTTCCCGGGATTCGCTCGCAATAGAGATGATGGTCAAAGGTGGCGGTCCATGGATCAACCAAACTGCGCCAGTATAAATCCCAAGTAGTAAGGAGTGTGTTCGAGTGTCAAAACAGCTTAATAACCGCGAGAAACAGACAAATGCTCAACAGCGCCCTACAACAGCACACTACAAAAAGCACCCTGCGCAACTCTCTGTCTCACTCTCCAGTAGCACGCTGCAAAGCACCTTGCAGCACTGCCAAAATTCCCACGCCCTCTAGAGAAAAAATATTGGGGGTTCCCCAATTTGCAGACACTTGACGCACTCATACGACCATGTGTGCCTTCCCCTACTTCAGCTTGGTAGGGATAGAAAGTCGAGGTCCTCATATGTCCTTCTCATCATCTGGGGCAACGTCGATGACTGATGGATTAACTCCGGTGGATGGACAGTTGTCCCTAGAAAGTGGGGTGGTAGAGCGAGAGGGGAAAGTCGACCTGGGTGTGGCATTGAGGCGGAGGCCATTCAAGTCCGTGCATCCGTGAACCTTGATTCGTGTTTAAAGAGCCTACACCACCATGTCCCTCGCAAATGAAAAGTGGACAACTGGAAATGTTCACCGAACCTCATATGATCTGCTTGGGAAATGTCACCTGAAAAGCACCAGAAAGACCTTGCGTCTGAACCAGCTGCCCCGAGACGTTCGCCAAGAGTAGATAGAACCAAACTGGAACCAATAGTTTTTTGGGTTGACCATTTTCCCTAAGGGTGTCTCTCAACAAAATTGAGTCTACATTCAGCCAAGCACTCCTAACACAACACTTGTCAGCTGGCATTCCAGATGCAATCCCAAAGGTCTCCTGGCTCCTCTTTTCTGCGGATGTGTCAAAGCTAGGAGCGCTTTTGGGTGGAACCTTCCAGTGGTTCTAGAAGCTGGTTGTCCAAAGTATCCAAGCCTCGGAAGAAACCAATTCTTTGGAACTAAGCTCGAAACCCTTTCGGCAGTGTGCAGGCTTGTTTCCTGAATTGCATGTTTTTGGTTGGCATCTACCGTAGTGCATCGTTGGAGGGGATCCAATTCTATTGTTGGAAACTCCTCATATACCCATTTGGGTATGTCTCTTTTGGAGGCTGGGTATCCTTTTGGGCTTCTTTACAGGGAAGATCAAAGGGAAACCATGATTTTACAGGGGGCAAACCCACTTGGGTGGGTCTCGAAATGGGGTATCCCCAAAACAAAACAAAAAAACATGTTCTCCCGCGGCCTAAAGGGTATGTGTCAAAAGAGAGGGATCCACAAAATGATGGGGGTCCGCTTGGATTCCTTATCAAGCAACCTGAAAAGGGTGCTCTCAACAACAACCCGAATTTGTGTCTTAACTCAAAGGCACCTGCCCAGATCTGCGCCTGCCTTTCTGTCCCGGGGTGTGCCGCGTGGACCCAGGGGGATGTAGTGCCTCGATTTGCAAGGCTGACCCTGTGGTAAGACAACCCCTGGAGCTTTGTGTAATGGCCCTTAAGCGAATCCCATCATGTTTCAACATGCGTAATCCTGATGGGCCTTTCCTGCCGATTGGGGATGAGCCACCTACGAGTACCAAGTGCAGGATTTGGTCCATCAGTATGTCTCCAAGGGAATCCCCAAAACAGGTCGCGAATTTGCGCCACAAAGAATCAAGCGCCAAGAAAGGAGCCCTCAAATGAAAAGTGCCCCTCGATTCATTGAGTTAGAGGTCTGGGAAATAGCCCTCTTCCGCCCAACCAAAATGGTTGAACGTTCCCTGGTCCCAAAACCTGCCGGCCATGCGGAGGAGGGACAATGTCCCCATCTTTGTAAATACAAGGAGCACATGAGTATATGAGGCATTTCCAATAGTTCCCTGACATGGAATTTGTTGAGCAACCCCCTCATTGATTTGGGGGCAAGAAGGAAACCCTATCGGCACTAAGGAAACGACTGGAGCAACAGGGCCTTCTAGCCGCGTTATGAAGGACCCTGCAGTCTCGGGGGCGGAAGGTCGCAATCACACAAAGATACAGGATGCTCAAGAGCTCAAACGATGTGATCTGCGGCCTACACAAATACATGCATGTGGAAAGTGGATCTCTGTCTCCGGTTCGTGGATATTTTGCATCTCCGCAAGAACTTTACCACTTTGAACCGGATTACGTGGCAACATAGAAAATTGCCCAACACATTTTGTTCCACAACCATGTTCTTAGGACTGGATCTATTCTAGCGGCATCCTTAAGGTTATCCTCTAAGTAGTGGTTTTAAGGGAACAGCCATCAAGAGTGATTTTGAGAACCCCTGCATGGTCCCTTTGTTGGACCCAGCTTTCAATGTGTGAATACGACGGAGCAACACGCGAAGCACGAAATCGGCACGCCCAGCCTCTCTCGACACCGGCGGTAGTAGTCTGACACGTACTCTTCGTGGTCAGATCGCCTGAAAGCCAGAGAAGGAAACCGCCTGGAGTATCCGTGACCCCCTAAACATGCATCAATGTGCCCCTAAAAACATTGGGGTACTGACCCCATTTTGCAAGGGTCACGGAGGCTCCGAAAATACCTTCCTCTGTGGTTTGCCTTTAGATCAACTGGGTTCGTCTCAAAACTAGGTCCCGTCAAAATTCCTTTTAAAAACAATCAACCACAAAAGAAGTACCCTTTCAAAAGTACGCACCCACATGGTTTCCTATCTGTTGAGCAGTGGCGAAAGCAAGGCGACATCTTCCACCCGCATACTTTTTGCGAGCCTTGGCACCTTGGTGCCGCCAGGAGTTGGGGGCGTTTCCCTTCAAGGCTATTTAAAGCCGTGCGTCCTCTGTTGATCCCTCAATAAAAGTGTAGTATTTTGTGGGACGTCATAAATCCAACTCTAAACCAAAAAAGTCTAAGGATGTGGCTGCGGACCTCCAAGCATCTTCATTGACTAGTTTTTGTAAGCTTCATGGGAAACCAGTAGGAGCTCAACATTTGGTGCGGTTCATATGTGGATCCATAATGGGAACACCTGACTAAAAAGCCCATCCTACTAATCGGGAGTGTCACCCACACAAGTGTAGGATTCCAACGTTTATCAATCCGTGACAATCAAGGAACGCCCAAGAAAAGCAACATTCAGCCTTCTGCCAAACAAATGGAAGCACTAGGCTATGTATCATGCAGCCAAGCGACTCATTCGGATTTAATTTTGATATGGGACCCTTTGGTGGACATCATTGGGTGGGACTTCATTTAGGTGGGGATTCATGTTCACCACCCCCATTTTGAGGTGGCTCCCGATTCGAGATCATGGCCACTCCACCTTCCAAGAAACGTGGCCAGGATTGATAAATTCCGGCAGCTTTCCCCTCGCGCAGTTTTGGGGGGATAAAGGCACAGGTCCTGAGCAGATGGGGGCTCGCTTGTTCCTTTGTCCCCAATAAAACATCCACCAACAGCCCAAAACATCCCAGCAAGCAACCAAAAATACATTTAAGCCACCTTTGCAGTTTAACTCTTCCCAAAAAGGATAAATATATGGACCCTGCAAATGAACAGAATCCAAGCAACCATCCCTTTTACACTCTCTTTTGAGCGCGTGTTCATCAGGGAGGCAAAACCCCGAGCTGCGCCTGGTGAATCCAAGGTGGGAGATCCGCCACTCGGTGTCCTCGACGCTTATGCGGCTCATCAGGCCATCCTCGCGCGAAGCGACTCTGGAGGCCAGGCCCCCTGTTGGGTGCAGCTTAATTGAGACCAAAGGCTGGAGAAGGCCGAAGACAAGTGCCGGAGGGGTTTCGTAGGGTCCCACAAGTACAACCGGGGTGCTCTTGGATGCTTTCCCCTCCACATGTGTACCATTTCGACAGGGCTGAATAATTGTATAGAATGAGGTTTGTTGTTCAGCCAATTGTGGGAGCAAAAGGTTCATAATTATGTAGTACTCAGGTTGTATGAAGCATCGAGACACATACTGACAAGGCTTGAAGTTTGAAGCCGGCCTCTAGAAATGATCAAATGGAAGGATCACCTTCACAAACAAAACAAAACCATCTGAAAGATCCCCCAACCTCGCATTCATACTGTTCGGCCCCAAACCTTTTTTTGGCTCATGAATCAAGGAAATATATGTTTATTTGTTCCAAAAACCCACAGGTCCAACGGGCGCCATCCTTTGCCCCGACTGGTGGCTCATGGCGAAGTTGGTGCCGGGGATGCTGGTATGAAGGCCTGGAGCACACAAGCCCTGATGCCGACCGCGCTCCAGGTGCATGGTGGTGGCGGAGCGCCTGGGCTTGATGACCTCGAAACCATCACCTTGTCTGAGATGACGACCCCCAAGAGCAAAGTCAAGAAGACCAGGGAGCGCTCCACCCCCGTGGGGTGCTGCCAAAGCGCGTCCGGGAGTTGTCGCGCGTCGTGCGACGCGCGTCCCCGCTAGCGTCGCTCGCGGCGTCAACAAGTCCTGGAATGGCGGTCGTCGGAGAATGTTCCCGTATGTTTGATGTACGTATATTAAAAGGATTGGTGTCATGCCGATGGGCAACATTGACCTTAAACTCTGTTCAGTTCAAAACATGACATGACATGGCTGGGCAAATTACATCAAATCACCTTAATTCGCAAATGGAAATAGGCAATCCCTAAGAGACGTTTTATCATGGGCGAGCTCGTTTTACCCAGGTGAGCTCGTTGTAATATGTGTAAATTCTTGCTGGCCCATAGTCCAAAATTGTAAGGGTTACTATTGACGAAGGGCAGTTTAGGTCAAAGGGTTCCTTGTGACCAACCGAACAACTAGAACATGTAACAACAATAAGGCATGGAACCAAGAGGGCGGATATCCGCGAATATTCATGGCTGGGAGTTCGCCTCACCTTGGGTTTTGATTTTGTCTCGCCTGTTGAAAACCCACCGCGCCCGAAAACAGACTGTCGGCGCAAACCACTGGCCCGCCTCCGCGTCGGACGCCGCGGTGGTCGAGGCCTAGTCTTTCGCGCGATCAAGCAGTGCGAGGGACAGATTTGGGGCCATTTTGTCGAGGGCTAGAAGGGTAACCTGTTTTGTAGGGATCATAGTGAAGGCTATAAGGGTATGTGCGTGCCGTTTTTGAGGGTACTTTGATTGGGTTGTATTGAAGGAAAACCGTTGGGGATATTTGGACTCCCACAGCCCCCCCCTGTTTGAAGGGTCAGAAAGAGACTGCAGGGGCATTCGGAGGGCTCCTGCAAGATCAATTTCGGATTCAAGGGACTGTCTGTCCAGTAAGGACCTAAATACAAGTCGAACAGGGTTGGGATACCATAAAGTAAACTAAGTCATGACCATGGGAATTCATGTTAGTAAACCAAAACAACACAGACACACAGACACACAGACACACAAACACACAAACACACAGACACACAGACACACAAACACAGACACACAGGCACACAGGCACACACACACACACAAACACGCGAGCGCGTGCGTATGCAAGAACAGTGAAAGAACCTGGGGAAAGGAAAAGGGCAGGTCAGTGTTGGGCAGTGTAAAGGAGCTCGAACTCACAAAACACAAAAAACAGTGAAGCGGGTTTCTTACCCAAAAGGGGGTTGTGACCCTGCTAATCCAACGTCACGTAAGGGCACCAATCTTTTGTGAGATTCCTGTTGACGTGCTCCAACTAATTCTTTACGGGGAGCGGAATATTCACAAGTCTCAACCTGACTTGAATTTGAAGGACTCTTGTCATGCCCCCGGGTCAACGGGTGAACCCCTAATGGCTCCAGACTACAACCCGTGTGTTGCTCATGAAAAATCAAAGAGCGGCTCTCGACTCGCGACCCCATGATGCTTGCCATGGGCCCACTTTGCCGATTGGGGATCAAAGGGGATCAAAAGGGAAACGGGGTTCCCCGTATCTCCCGCAAAAATTACCTTACCCAAATTCAGGAGGGGCCGCGGCCCCTTCTCACCGCCTTGAATTGTCGCGCCTCCGTCTTGCCACAGTGCAGGACCCTCTGCCACCTCAGCTTGAAGGTTGAATCTGCTCACCCGCCATCAGTCAAAACCTCCACTCAATTGGCAGGGTTGCAGCCACGAAACCGGTGCCAATTGAGAGGCAAACATGAACAACGCAACAGAACTGTGCTATGTTCTCCCCAAACAGGTTCCTTGCCAAGACTTACAGGTCTTAAGGCTTGGCGAAGTGACCGAATCAATCGGGCGGCTGACTTGCAACCAGTTATTCTCCATTGGGCCTTGCCCTTTCTGTTTTCTTTGTGGTTGAAGTGCATGGAAGGGACACCTCTCCTGAAAAAACAAAAAGTGGAACATGGATTTCTGCGCTTGGACTGAGCTGGGACAATCCTGTCCATGTTTTTGGAAATGAATCCGCTGTGTCAACAATCTTAACTTCGGATAAATTCGGAGAACCATACTTATCTCAGGAACACCCCTTTCATAAGGACAGAAAGCGTGCTAGTCGCTGAAAGGGGGGACCCACCCCTGATTGCGGTCCCTCGGATTCAGCCAGGTCAACCCCGGGGGGTCCCATTTAGAGGGAAACCGGCTCACTTTTCGGGAAAGTTACACACCCCTAGTTATCTGCCAGGTCGATGAAGCATGGGTCGACATTGCAGAGAAACTGCCAAGCCACTAGTCCGGATCCCCGAATTTGGGAAGCACCACTTTTTCAGGGGCTTCTACCCCTGAGTGTGCTTTATCGGATTAAGAAACCGGGGTCGACATTGTCTAACACTTTTTTTCCTCGATTTTCGATGCTAAACATTGCGCTTTTCAGAACCCGTGAAGGGATCTGAGGCGGTTCCAACTCCTGAAAATCGTATCCAATCCGCAGCGCGCGCGCTGTTCGAGCTTCCCCTCAGGCATGGGCTCCTCGAACTCGCTCAGGGTCTTCTTGGCGCTGCCCGCCTGACTTTTTGAAAGGGAAACCGCGGCCAATTACCGCGAAGACCTTAGTGAGGATTCGCAGGAAATGAGGGAGTCGCATTTGGGGGGTGTCTTTTTGAGGGAACTGTCTTTGGCAGGGACACTCAGAGGGAACCGACCGTTTTGGGGGGGGTGCCCTATTTCAGCAGGTTGAGGATTTGACCCTACTTTTGGCAGCCCCAGCGCTTGTCAGACCCGGAAATGTTGATTTACAAAATGGGTTCCGATCGCTTCACCAAAGGAAAATCAAACGTGTGTGGCATCCATTTGGAGCCCATTTGTGATCGAACCCATTGAACGGGTCATCCGTTTGATCCGCCAACCTGCCGTTTGTGTCAGAGCCGCGCTGTTATGCTGTTCGCAAGCGAGGCGGCATTTTTCAGACTAAACGCCTCACGGGGAGACCCTGATCCGAAGCCAGCAGACTGGTCATTGCTTTTTGCCACCAACAAGGTCTTTGGTTCTTGCCGCAGGTTTACTGCTGACTTATTGCGAGGCTCCAAGCTCCAACTCCTTGAGTTTTAGCTCGCGGACTTCCCACTTTTCGGCTTTGGGGACACCCAGAACCGGCCCTATGTCTTGATGTTGATCCACCGGTACACAACACGCGTCGCCAGCTGCCTCGTTGTACTCCTGCCAGTACTCCTGTGTGCATGACGAACCCGGGCTGAAATTGACCCCTGTTGAAAAATGGGGGGGTCTTCCCTTAAAACGTGAAAGACCCCTTTTGAATAGCCCCCCCCTATCAAACCCCATCAGGCGTTGATTCATCCTGCGTTCTCAGGCTTGTGAAAATTCTGAAAGTCAGACCCCTACTCATCAGCTGGATTCCCCAACTGCTGCCCAGCCAAACAAACATGTGTATGGCGTTTGCCTCCAAAACACGCAGACACGCAGGTGTTCGAGACACCGAAGAGAATCTTCCAAACAGCGGTGACTAGTGACTGTTCTTGCTTGGGCAGATAGCCCAGCACACGTATACACGTTGGAATGTCCACACATGCTGTATATATATATATATATATATGTATATATGTATATGTATATGTATGTATATGTATATGCATATGCATATGTATATGTATGTGTATGTGTATATGTAGATGTATATGTATATGCATGTATGTATGTATGTATGTATGTATGTATGTATGTATGTATGTATGTATGTATGTATGTATGTATGTATGTATGTATGTATGTATGTATGTGTATGTATGTATGTATGTATGTATGTATGTATGTATGTATGTATGTATGTATGTATGTATGTATGTATGTATGTATGTATGTATGTATGTCTGTCTGTCTGTCTGTCTGTCTGTCTGTCTGTCTGTCTGTCTGTCTGTCTGTCTGTCTGTCTGTCTGTCTGGCTGGCTGGCTGGCTGGCTGGCTGGCTGGCTGGCTGGCTGGCTGGCTGGCTGGCTGGCTGGCTGGCTGGCTGGCTGGCTGGCTGGCTGGCTGGCTGGCTGTCTGTCTGTCTGTCTGTCTGTCTGTCTGTCTGTCTGTCTGTCTGTCTGTCTGTCTGTATGTGTGTATGTATGTGTGTGTGTATGTATGTATGTGTGTTATGTAATGTAATGTAATGTAATGTAAATGTAAATGTAAATGTAAATGTAAATGTAAATGTAAATGCAAATGAAAATGTAAATGTAAATGTAAATGTAATGTAATGTAATGTAAAGTAAAGTAATGTAATGTAATGTAATGTAGTGTAATGTGTGTGTATGTATGTATGTATGTATGTATGTTATGTTATGTTACGTTACGTTACGTTACGTTACGTTACGTTACGTTACGTTACGTTACGTTACGTTACGTTACGTTATGTTGTGTATGTTTGTATGTATGTATGTATGTACGTATGTATGTATGTATGTATGTATGTATGTATGTATGTATGTATGTATGTATGTATGTATGTATGTATGTATGTATGTATGTATGTATGTATGTATGTATGTATGTATGTATGTATGTATGTATGTATGTATGTATGTATGTATGTATGTATGTATGTATGTATGTATGTATGTATGTATGTATGCATGTATGTATGTACGTATGTATGCATGCATGCATGCATGTATGTAAACAAAAAGAAAGAACATATCGCACGCATGAACCGAGCGAGAGAGGGGAGGGAAAGAGAGAGAGAGAGAGAGAGACAGAGAGAGAGACAGAGAGAGAGAGAGAGGCAGAAAAAAGAGAGAGCGAGAGAGACAGAGACACAGACAGAGACGGAGACAGAGACAGAGACAGAGACAGAGACAGAGACAGAGACAGAGACAGAGACAGAGTCAGAGACAGAGACAGAGACAGAGACAGAGACAGTCAGAGACAGAGACAGAGACAGAGACAGAGAGCGAGAAAGCAAGAGAGAGAGGGAGAGACTTCGTTGGCGAACGTGTCAGACTAGTTCGGCACTCAATGATGTCGCCAGAAAGGGTTCGGAAACACAAACGGTAATGCCAAACGCAAGTGGAAGGAGGGTCCTTGATTGGGAAAACGACCTGATGGCAGAGAAGGGGGTTTGCTGGCATCAACGATCTATCGAATGTTGCCCTGCAAGATCCCAGAAAACCATTATTTGCTTTTGGGGCACCTTTTGTTGGTACCACGTTGATTCTCTCAGAGAACTTCTATGTCCCAAGTCTTGGGTGAGCCGCGCTCAAAGATGTCTGAGAGCTGCAAGATTATATAGAAGACCCTTTTAAAGGTAAACTTTGCATCACAAGAAAGGGAAATAAACAAGTGAGTCATCACCACAACCCGGTCATGAAAGGAGTCTACCCAAATCCATGCAATAAATCCATATGTAGTTGGGACAGTCCCGTGCTAGTGCCTCCAACAGGGATCCTTACATTATACACCTGAACATTGCCTTGTAAATGGTGGCTTCCCTTTATTTGGGTGGAAAAAGCCATGTTTCAAATGGGCAAAAAGTATCTTTTAAGGAGCCATGTCCAATGACAGAGGTTTTGATTGTGGTTCCGGGGATGCCCGAAATCACAATGGGTTGAACAAACCTGTTGTGCCATATAACGTGTGGCACATGAGGGTGAGTGACCCTATTTCCTCATGGTATTTTGGTGCTCCTGTGCCCCATGTCAATTCCACGAATCCCACAAGTCGCGAAGTCAGACAGACCCACCCGCTGCCGAATTTAAAACCGAAGAACTGGGCCCAGGAATCCACTTTCTGGCTCCTGCTTCAGCTGCTCACGCTGAGCCACTGAGATGAAGGTCTCATCATTGTCCTCCTCGCAAGCTTGGTAAAGGTCTACTAGTGTTGGGTTGTGGTTCAACAGCACTCACCTGTAAAGGGAAACCGAGAGGTTGTTTGAACACTGGTGGCCGACACAGAGGGGTGCTAGATCACTATGGCTAGGGGGCTTGGATTCCTTTTGCCCTTCGGGGAAGTGGGTTTAGGGTGGAAACAAGCTTGGGTTGCCTCTAAAGGGAAAACAAGGGCGGCCGTTACCACCCGTAGTTTGTTTCAACAAATCTCAGGTAAAAACTAAAACTGCTTATGGCGAAGGTCATGGCATCCTTCACACATAATGGTTGCTTGAAGCTCCTGAGCGGTTGATGACCAGGCTCAACCCCGAGCGAAAGGTTTTGAGCATGGCACAAATTTGGCTTGGGGCTTTGGGGGAGACAAAGTAATCACTGCACGTGGTATGTTTGCTGACTCGACCAGTTGAAGTCTTATGTTCGAGGCGCTGAACAAACCATCTATGGCTTCCCGATTTCAAAACGAGGATCGCAGGGTTCTCTATATGGAAGCCCTTCTTGAGTTGGCCCGAAAGGTGATGTCGCAAACCAGCAAAAGGGGACCCCTCATGTATATGGGTATGTGGCAATCCAGGGGGAACCTCAAACTGGTGAAGCCAACCCCGAAAAGGTACCCTCCAAAAAACACAAACTCATTTCACCATCAAAGTCCTCTTTCCAAGTACGCGCACACGCACACACACACACACACACACACACACACACACACACACCCACGCACGCACGCACGCACGCACGCACGCACGCACGCACGCACGCACGCACGCACGCACGCACGCACGCACGCACACACACACATGGAGCCCGAGTCCACGGAGACGTCATCAAATTCCAGAGCTCGCGCCTCGAGCTCGAGGTCTTCTTTGGCCTCTATGAGCTTCATCTGCGCCTACACCAAATCCAAAGCAACGAATGGGGCATGGTCAAATTCGAAACCTCGCACCTTGAGTGTTCCCCGACATAGAGGCAAATCCACGAGGATCGGTCAAAATTGGGGGTACCAGGATGTGTCAAAACTTTCTGGCCCTGATCATGATGCCATTAGTACAAACCCATACTTTGACAAAAGTATAAAAAGGTCACCTTGAATAAGACCGGGTGGTATCAGAGCAACCCAGGAACTCTTCCAGGAACCAACAACCCCCCGAAAAACAAGTTCAGACCGTTCCTTTGCCACTGAAATGGTCTTCCAAAAATGTATGAAGTTCGGGAACTCCTGGAGCGAGCAGCAACTGTGAGCTTTTAATTCTACTGTCTGGCCCGTAAAGGGTACGTGACCACCAAGATACCATCGGTACGGACTGGGCAACCAAGAACTGGGCTTGGGATTTGGATGCTAACCCCCACCTCCCAAAGCCTCTCGCATGCCTTGCCCCCGATCCCTACTCGTTGGAGTCGTGGCATTTCCCATCAAGTTCAGGAAATGAGCCAAAGACCGTACTTCGATCCCTTTGGCCTTTCCCCGTGGCTCTCACACTTCTCGCACTCCCCGGTCGGGGGAACCCAAACACACCCCCAAACACAGACCAAAGCAGACCAAAACAGATCGGGTGTGCTTGGAGGAAGTTAGGAGCATAACGAATTTCGGAAAACCAACGCGTCTTAGCCGTCTCGCCTCGCGCTGGCGCGCCAGCTGCCGCGTGCCTGGCCGGCTGGTGCTGCCGCTGGTGCCCGGGCGGCTGCGATCGGCTCCTTGGGGGCCAGGCGAAGGATTGCTACCAGATTCCACCCCTCAAAAGTGAGGTGTGTCTTCCATGTTTGTCAAAAGGGAAAGCAGGGCAGATGAAATCGCCTGCTCCTTCAACACAGTTCCCAACGTCAGGTTAGAAAGTTGACCCCTGGAGAACGATATCCTGCACCAATTCTCTATCCAAGCATTGTTTGGTCATCCATTTGGAGCAACCATGTTCAACTTGGATTCAGGGACTCTCAAGACGTCGGCTCTCGAACTCGTAGAATCCGCCGGCGCCGTCCTAAACCAGGGGTTATACCCACATGGATTGCAAACCACTCAAAGAATGGTGCCTTTCCTTGGGTTCCCAGTCAAACAACCGCAAAAAACCAAAAAAAGAACACCCTCAATACAAGACATACCCACAAGGCCCTCGAGAGTTCTCCACTCCGGACTTCCTTGGCGTACTGTAAAACTGACGCCACGTTGCCCTAAATACTGCAAGTGACCAAACACATCCAATCACAAAACCCTGAAGAAATTGGAAGGTAGATTTAAGCTTGTTACTCTTTGGATTGTGCGGGTCCCCAGCCTTTAAACTGCACCAAAACTGGGCGCCAAATACGGGCTTGGAGGAAATTGACAATAGGGTTGCATAGTTTTCCCTACAGCTGAAAGCTACTTTCAGAGGGTTCCAGCTCCGAGAGGGTTCCGCGAGGGTTTCGGGAGGTTCCGATGACGCACGGCGCTTGTTGCCTTTCCCAGGATTTTTGGAGGCCGACAGCTCTGGGTCTCTTCTCGGGCAGTTTCCTGGCAGAATGCTGTTGGGGATGCCACCTGAGTCGGTGGTCGGTCTCAATATATTTTTTGTCTAGGGGATCAACAAAAACAGACACGTGAGTGTCAGCACCCAGAAAAGATGCCGTTGGACTTTCGGACCACCCACCCTGTATCAGCAAGCACGGGAAACCAAAACCACTTCTGGAGACACGCCCAACCTCAAATCCCCTTAGGCCTTTCAGGGGGTGTTTCTCCAAACAAAGGGGGGCTTGGATTTCCACACAACATGGTGTCCTCCTGATTTCCCGAAAAACATGCAAGAAGAGGTCCCGATTGCTTCACGTCTCCCCTGGCCAGAACGATGACCCCACTCCCAACGCTGTCCTCCTGGGCTCATCAATGAGGGGTCCTCACAAGAGAAGCAAAGGGCTAGGCTAAAGAACATGTATCCTTATGTATTTATATATATATATATATCATTTGTGTATGTGTGGATGTGTAAGTGTCCATGTATGTGTGAATATCTGTGCATACTGTCACGTGACTGTATGCATGCATGTGTGTGTGTGTGGGAGTCTGCGACGGGTGTGTGTGTGAAAACATGTGTATGTGTATGTGTATGCCTTTGCCTATGTCGATGTGTATGTACTGCAATGCAATGCAATGTATTGTACTGCAGCGTAGCGTAATGCAATGTAGTGCAGTGTGGTGCAATGTAGTGTGATGCAGCGTAATGTATTCTTTGTAGTGTACTGTAGCTCAATATAGCTTAGTGTAGAGCACTGCGATGTAAGGCAGCTTCTTAAGTACTGTAATGCAACGTTACGTAATGCAATGTAAGCGACATGCAGATGAACTGTAGTGGCAGTATAATGTCGTGTAATGTGGAGTACATAGGTGCGAACGTGCAAACGTATCCATGAATGCATATGTGCTCAACGTATCAACGTGTAGATGTATCAATTCATCAACTATCAATGTAGTAAAATCCAGTTCATCGTTCCTCATTTTAGGGCAAACCATGTCTCACATCTCACCAAACGTTGACCCAAGTCAAAGCAGGGCCTTTTTCTCGCCGGGGCTCCTGGACCTCGCTCACCTCCGGCACGCTGCTGGCGAAGAAGGGGAAGTCCTCTCCCGCCGTTGGGCCGAAAGATTTCAGCTACAAGCGGTGGCCAAAATGGCAAAGGAAATCTTTGCGCCCTTGGCCTGCATGTTTACTGTCATGGGCAAGCTCTCGGCCCGAGCCCTCCCAGTGGTTGAGCGCATCTTTGGCTTGCGCTTTGATCACAGTCGCCATGGCCGGGGCTTTGTCCAGTTGATTGTACAGTGACTATCCCACACATGACACTTTTGATTTTGCTCGCCTGGGCCTGATCGAGCTTGCATTCCCCTGTAAATGCCGGGCAAGTCATGTTTGGACACCATGTTCAAACTGCCTATGTGACTGGGTTGGACTTTGACCCAGTCATAAAACGGTATTCCTGTCTGTGTGTTGGTCCGGGAAACGCCCGTTGCTTCGCAAAAGGTTCAAAGGTGAGTTCGGTAGAACCAAGAGCAAGCAAGGCTTGCCCCTGAAAACGGCCCACCCAAACCGGGTGAAGAATCAAAAGGGCGGCTTTCGGAGCCTGTCTATGTCTTCTATGTTCTGGGTTGTCCCTCCATTGATACAGGGGGGCTAAATACTTCCACATTTTTCTCCGAGGATCAAGCCTTCTTTGGTTCTGAAGGTACCCCACCCCATTCTAGGGTTGGGCTCCCGAGTTCCGAAACCTGGCGCCTCCGGCGCTGAACAAATTGCACTCCCGGCCTCGAAGTGAGCATCCAGCGATTGGTCGATCCTTAAGCAAGGTGCGGGCGGTCGGGACTGCTCATTTTCTATGGAAAAGTTGCGCAAGGAACTCAAAACTGGGCCAAAGGTAGACCCCCTGCAAAAAGTTAACTTTGGCTGGTTAAACGGAACAATGAAGGAAAACCAAATGGGCGAAAAGTTAAAACAGCAAGCTAAGTCTGGCAGCCCGGGGGGTTGGGAGGATAAATCCACAAAGGGTCCCCCAACCGGGAGGTCCTCTAAGAATGATGCTTCTTGAGCTAGTGTTTCTTTTTTGAGGTGGTACCCTTTTGGGAAATGCTTCACCTTGAAGCCACCTAGAAACCCTTTAGAAACTCGCTAGAAACAACCCTCCGGGGAATGCCTAGCGAACACCTTGGCTTATTTTGCCCTCTGGGCCCTCCAGCGAGCCCACGCGCAGCGATTGCAGCACTCCGCTCCTGGCAGTCCTGGCGGGCCAACTGGCTAGTTGTTTGCATCTTCTACGGCAGGGGGAGGAGATTCAATGTTGATGGCTTAGCAGCCCTTGTGATGGTTGCGTTAGGTCGCTGCCATGGCGTGCACCTGAGGTGATTGTCGATTTATCCCATTGAAAGGCTTTTATGCATCATTCATCACTGGCGCCTGGCCTGGATTTTGTCAATCTACACGAGTTCACTTGAGGGAACCTCACTTCTCACTGGTCTCTTCAGTGCCACGGCCAGACTACCCAAAGCATACCCTGCCTTACGGCCAAGGCTCAGGATAGGGTCTTCGGCCTTCGGGGGAGGGAGGGACTCCATGGGCAAATGGGAGACGCTTCACAGAAACTGCGAAAGCCTGAGCCTTCTTTTTCTGAAATATGGAAGAGGTCTGTTTTGGAGCTGGTACCTGTAGGGTTTCCAGCCGTGGAAAACCTGGCTGGCATTCCGATTCGCAAAATCCCTCGCCTGATGTCGTAGACCGCCGCGCCCTGCTGCTCCCGCTCCTGAAGAAGCAAAAGAGATGGCTGTTCCTTGAGTTGGCTTATTTGTGTGTGTGTGTGTGTGAGAGCGTGTGTTTTCGAGGGTACCGTCTTTGAGCTGGTTTCAAGGGACGCCAAAAGGAGAAAAAGCTTGCGTCTGAGAAACCGCGAGACCAAGGCCCAAATATCCGCCCTTTGATTTCTTGGCGCTCTGAAACCATTTCCCGTCGTCCTGGCGCAAACCAATGTTCAACCCGCCAAAACACTGCCTGGCCTTGTTGCGGCGGAAGTGATCGAAGCTGATCTGGGCCACCCGGGCCTGAACGCATGACTCAAGGGAAATACGGTGGATGCACAACATATTGAGCCAGTTGGGATGGATGAAACTCTATGAATACTGGGAAAACCACCAACCAACTAGTGCATAATTGTGTCCATCTACAATATGGCTGCGGCCCCCTTGCGGTGATACCGAAGCGGGTGTGTGAATGTTGGGCAACCCCCCTTTCGGTTGGTGTTGAGGGGAAACCAACAGGCAACTACCTTTTTGGGATAAAGTGGGTGTGAATTTCAATGTTTACTTGGGGACCCTTTCCGCCTCAGCTTTTGCCCAACCAATAATGGTATGTTTGATTCCGAACCTCAAAGCTGCATTTAAAAAGAGAGTTCCCAGTTTGACTTAACCACTGTGGCCAACAGCATTTACACATGTAAAAGTGACCCCCAGCCATTTCAAGGTGGCCTCCAACCACGTCTCACTGCTCCCTGGGTGCCTTGGGTTTGTGATACCAAAAGAGTTTGCTTACCAGAGAATCCTCCAAGAGTTCTGAAGGAGTCCTTGGAGAGATACCGCTTCTGTGGATCAAAGCCCGCTGCGAGCTGTGATGCATTTGGTTAGTGGATGGAAATAGTTTGGAGGTCACAGTCTCGGGTTGTTTCAGGACCTCTTAGAGGTTACGTATATTGTTCGTTTCCTGGAATCTTCCGAGTCAACCGGTCCATCCCGAGAGCTCCACCAAACATTACGTCACGCGAGCGCGGCGTATCACCAAACCAGGGACTTGACGTTTGCAGCTCCGCCTGCGTTCGACTGGTTGAAGCCTTCAGAAAGCCAAGGCGCCAAGGGACCCCAATTGTATTGCGCACACACACACCATATATTATGTGTAATATGAAAAATGAACTATTCAGGTATCATTTATGTATATAGAAATATATTATTATGCTTGTATGTGTACGCCTGAGTGGACAGGATTGTGATGCGAAAACTATGTAGGCATCAGACTGGTTGCGTGTCAAACTGGTCGGGTATCAGATGGATGGCTGGCCAATGCATGAAGGAGGCAGCAAAGATCCAGCGTCCGTGGATGGAAGCCCACCAAACCCTAGTAAAATTCTACCAAAGCCAAACTCTAACAAACCAAAAACCAAAAACCAAGCAAGCAAGCAAGCAAGCAAGCAAGCAAGCAAGCAAGCAAGCAAGCAAGCAAGCAAGCAAGCAAGCAGACAAACAAACAAACAACAAACAGAAAAATAACCAAAAAACAAAAACCAACGTCAACAGAAAAGCCGAAGAAAAAGAAAAAGAAATCCTTCCGGCACTCACCCCGACCCGCTTGCTGGTGCCCCGCGCCTTGGCCTTGGGCTTCAGCCGGCCGGCCGCCTGTGACCTGTCGAGTAGACTCACAACCTCAACCCGCCCTAGCGAAACCTGAACCCCCCCCCTCTCTGGAAGGGTTCTTAGAACCGTCTTAGGGATGCTTACAAGGGATGATTAGAAGGGTTCTAAAGAACCCTCCTGACCATCTCTAACCCATCCTCGACCCTGGAATAATGAACCCTTGTGCCACCTACTGGCAGCCTGCACAAGTGTAGACGCATTCCACTCTGTATTCCTTCAGAGTCGTCGTACCACAATATCGCTGGTATTGCCACAATCATGCGCTTGCTCCGCATCATTTTTCAAACGCGTAAACCTTCGTGCTGTCCTTCAGGAGAAAGAGCACACAGCAGCGCAACGACTTCTACTGCCATCGAACAAGTGGTTCAGAACTGTGACAGTGCCGTGTTGGAGAAGTCTGCGATGTCCCGGACATAGAGCGAACAGCTTGCACGTAGCCGAACTTGAAGAGCGCAGACTGAGGTTTGCGAGCTTTTGAACCCAGGAGCGCCTCGAACAGGTATCTTCCAAAAAGACACACCTATGTTTTCATCACGCGTCCGACGTCATCATCATGCATTGCTCCCCTTGACAAAGGGCTTCATTTCGTCTGTGCAAACCAATTGAGCGTACATGACACGGAAGACACAGGAACTGTCTTGTGTGAAGGACATAGGGGTAATGTGTTTAGCGAAGACATCAGGGGGGGGGGGGGACCCTCCAACAGTGAAGGCTTTCCTCTAAATCGGGGCACTCACCCGCAGAAAATCAGGTTTATTTATCCTGGGTTCCCAGTGCCGAGATGTCAATCGACATCGGAGGAAATGCACTTTTTCCCATTGCGTCGGAGGAAATGCACTTATTCCCATTGCGTGAGCAAACAATTCCCGAAGTGTTCACGGTTCACGTTCAGCGTTCTGGGGTCCCCACTGCCAGGTGGTACATACATAAGTCAGCGTACCAAGCTAAACACAGGCACAGAATATGATCATTCATCCTTCTAAAGGCCCTGCTACCAAGTCAAAAAGTGCTTTATTTCACACTCATCAGCAAGGTTAACCACACAGTACAAAGCGTTCATCACTCACCTGCGGAGACCTTCTGCGCACATATTGCCGTGCTGACGACCTCAGCTTCAAGTGGAACATACATGTTGCGCGCAAGCCCTTGCAGGTCCAGTTGTCCTCCAAAACGGATTTGCGAACACGAGTGTTGCATATGGGCTTTGCAACATGCGCTGCCCCGAAACCGGCAGTGACACGACATGAGCAATCACGGTCAGCTAGGATTGACTACTAATCTTAGTGGTTTGTGGATCTTTTGCCAAAAGGTCAACCTTGAATGGGATATAAATCCCTCTAGACTCAAAAACATCTCCAAGCCACAGGGTATGGCCGGGAATCGCCAAGTAAAATGGGCCAAAACGGTTTTGGTCGCTGCTATGGATAGGAGAGCCAACTGCTCGCACCCCGCCTGGCAGAAGAAGGCTTGCTTTCAGCCAGCCTCATACGGATCGCCCGAGCAGTTGAGAAACAAAGAAGCCGCTGACCCCGGCAATCCCAGGCAGGCTACAGAAGCTGTGCTACATCGGTCTGGAAAACGATTGTCCAGGATCCACTCCCTGTCTTTAGGAGAAACTAAGCTGTCTACACCCAGGAAGGCAATCAGGGCTTTCAAGAATCAAATAACCATATACACTAGGCCCGTTTGGGGCGCTGTCCCTATTGGGATTGGGCTTGGAGGGACGCTGGATGTCCAAGTGACGTCAGGAATATCCAAATTGAGTCACCAAAACCCCTTGACTTCTGGAGGTCTACATAGGCCTACTATAAACCCCACGAACCAGGCGGTGCCACCTGCAAAAATAGCCAATGGGCGGTTTGGGTGCTCAATGAGGAAACTCAAGATTGGTAACACGCCCCACCCCGCCCACCCTAAAATCAGGTTTTCTTGGTGGTCTCTTTTTGTCTAAAAGGAAAATAATTAGCGGCGGGAGAAAGGGCACCCTTGTTCTGAAAAGTACATCCTTGCTGAAGAAAAGTCGGGGGGGGGGGGGGGGAAAGGAGTGAAGAAAAATCACTCCACGCAAAGATGTCCTCCGAAACTCAGTTCAAATGAAGGAAATGCCCCTAGAGGTCTGAACCCTGCAACCCTTTTTTCAGCTGCCTCACACTCGTCCTGCGCGAGGCCGGGGTCACCGGGGATCCTGAGAATCGCAGGGCGGTCTCTGTTGGGGATGTGACCCAAAATGGTGGTGGCCAAATATGTCGTAACACAAAAATATGTATACCCCCGCCCGACCCCACCCGGTCCCCAGTTCGCTCTACGTGTTTGGATTTAACATTTCGGTTTGAGACCTGTATGCGTGTATGGTGTGTATGGTGTGTATGTATGTTATGTGTTGAATTGGTATTAGTATGTTATGTTATGCTAAAGAACGTAATGTAATGTAATGTAATGTAATTTGTGCGTGTGTGCGTGTGTGCGTGTGTGCGTGTGTGCGTGTGTGCGTGTGTGCGTGTGTGCGTGTGTGCGTGTGTGCGTGTGCGCGTGTGCGCGTGTGCGCGTGTGCGCGTGTGCGCGTGTGCGCGTGCGCGCGCGCGCACGCGTGCACGCGCGCACGCGCGCGCGCGTGCGCGTTTGTGCGTTTGTGCGTCTGTGCGTCTGTGCGTTTGTGCGTTTGTGCGTTTGTGCGTTTGTGCGTTTGTGCGTTTGTGCGTTTGTGCGTTTGTGCGTTTGTGCGTTTGTGCGTTTGTGCGTTTGTGCGTTTGTGCGTTGTGCGTTTGTGCGTTTGTGCGTTTGTGCGTTTGTGCGTTTGTGCGTTTGTGCGTTTGTGCGTTTGTGCGTTTGTGCGTTTGTGCGTTTGTGCGTTTGTGCGTTTGTGCGTTTGTGCGTTTGTGGTTTGTGCGTTTGTGCGTTGTGTTTGTGCGTTTGTGCGTTTGTGCGTTTGTGCGTTTGTGCGTTTGTGCGTTTGTGCGTTTGTGCGTTTGTGCGTTTGTGCGTTTGTGCGTTTGTGCGTTTGTGCGTTTGTGCGTTTGTGCGTTTGTGCGTTTGTGCGTTTGTGCGTTTGTGCGTTTGTGCGTTTGTGCGTTTGTGCGGTTGTTGCGGTTGTGCGGTTGTGCGGTTGTTTGTTTGTGTGCGGTTGTTGCGTTTTTGTGCGTTGTTGTGCGTTTTTGTGCGTTTTTGTGCGTTGTTTTTGTGCGTTGTTTGTGCGTTGTTTGTGCGTTGTTTGTGCGTTTTTTGTGCGTTTGTGCGGTTGTGTTGTGCGTTGTTGTGTGCGTTGTGCGTTGTGTGCGTTTTTGTGCGTTTTTTGTGCGTTTTTGTGCGTTGTTTTTGCGTTGTTGTGCGTTGTTGTGCGTTTTTGTGTGCGTTTTTGTGCGTTTGTGTGCGTTTGTGTGTGTGTGTGTGTGTGCGTTTGTGTGTGTGTGTGTGCGTTTGTGTGTGTGTGTGTGTGTCTTTGTGTGTGTGTGTGTCTGCCTGCCTGCCTGCCTGCCTGCCTGCCTGCCTGCCCGCCAGCCTGCCTGCCTGCCTGCCTGCCCTTTCTGTCTGTCTGTATGGTATGGTATGGTGTGGTATGGTGTGGTGTGGTATGGTATGGTATGGTATGGTCCGGCATGGTATGGTATTGTATGGCATGGTATGGCATGGCGTGGTATGGCATGGCATGGCATGGCGTGGCGTGGCATGGCATGGCATGGCATGGCAGGGTATGGCATGGTATGGTGGTATGGTATGGTATTTTTCATGGTATGGTATAGTAGCAAGCAATAGCTTACCAACAAGCAAAATATCATACACTCCACCCTATGGTTTTCACGCCATTTCAAAAGCGCCCCGCAAAACCAACAAAATTTGGCATAAATCCTGCCATTTCAAACGCACCGCCCATAACTAACAATAAATCTCATAAAATCAAATCAGCCCACCAGTATATCAAAAATTCAAAAATAATTCATAATATATGAAAACATTATGAAATATTATTTACTGAGTGTTAGGTTCTTTCGTTTCCAATTTATCTTTATGCTTATCAGTTTTTTCATGTCTTGCTTTGTTGCATGTTCTGACTTCACAATTACAAACATCGCAATGATAAGTTTGTTGTTTGTATGCTTTTTCCCTTGCTTTTACTTCTTCGTTTTCCTGTTTTCTCTCCTCCTTTCATTTACTGCATCCCTTCGTTCTACTGTTTGGCGATGCCATTTGTTCCTTCCCTTCTCACGGCACTTGTCGCAATTTTTGTAGGGTTCCGTGAAAAATTCCACACGCCTATTTCTTTGACAACCCGAGCAATATTTCTTATCCATAACCCTTACATAGTAAGGCATCATCCCTTTAAATGGTTTTAGACATAATCCACAACATGAGCTTAGGGGTAAGACCCTCATAGAAAAAAACCACCAAACAACAAACCACACAAAAAACCAAACAACAGACCATACAATAGATTTTTACAAAGAACCTAAACATAAATCTTATAATTCAAATATTAAGAGCTGTATGTGGCCCCGGGGCAGCGCGCCAGACCTGAGCCGGTGTGTTTATGCGTCATGCAAGTTTACACATCACTTGAACATCTGGCAGGCAGATTGGACTTTCTGCACCAGCAGTGTTAAATCGAATGGAAAATCAAACCCGGGTGCCGCCGGGTGATCATGTGGTGCAAACAATTGGCCAATCAAGTTCAGCTGTACGGCAACTCAATTCAAGTAACAGTCTCTGACAGAAGCTCCAGTCATACTGAACCACTGAACCACGTGGAGTCACATGGAGTCACATGGAAACTCAAATCCAAGTCACGTGAAAACTCAAGAGCACAATGCACAATGAGCACAACTACTCGTACCTCGATTCGAAATGCCAAAAGCATGCTCCAGCTCCAACAACATTTGATCAAATGGAACATTAATCGAACCTGACCGAATCTCATGTTGCCGCCTGTTGTTGAGTTGTTGGGCGCATGTTGAAGTCCCTCTGGAATTTTGGAACCTTGGTTAGTTCCCAATTCAAAAGCTCTGCCCAGCGCTGAAGAATCTGAAGAAGTATTGGCCCAGTCCCTTGTCGTGACCTACTTGTCCACTTGTCCACCTTGTCCGAGAAAAAGGTCGGTGTCCGAGGCTGACGATTTCTGAATAGACTCAGCTACGTCACTCAACATGCCCGGAACCAGTGGAAACAGCGCCTTTTGTGCCCGCACCCGAGTCAGAGCGTCAGAGAGACGCACAGGCGGTCAATGAGCGAGATTGCGGACCGGCAGCTATTCCGGCGCTCAAACAAACATCAAGTTAAATACTACCCAACTAGCGCACAACTGGCAAGGAGTGTTGAGCTTCGTGGTCCACAAATCAAGCATCATGTGACACATGCTCAAAGCGAGCAATTCCGGGGCGCCAGAGGGTATCAGGCGCCTCTCGCGCATTGCCGCATTGGCCCATTGGCCAACGGCCAAAACTGAAAACCAAAACCAACAGGCTAACCGTAGGTCGCAAGCTCCTCGACGCAGCGCCGCTTGGACTTGTCGTCCTTCTTGTTGTTCTTCTTGTCCTTTTCGTCTTTTTTGTCCTTTTTGTCTTTTTTGTCCTTCTTCTCGTCCGTCTTGTCCTTCTTGTCCTTCAGGTCTTTGCTTTTTTTGTCCTTTTTGTCCTTTTTGTTCTTCTTCTTGTCCTTCTTCTTGTCCTTGTCCTCGTCCTCCTCCTTCGTGTTGTTCGTGAGGGAGTCTGAGGCCCATGGGTCACTCGGTGAAAAAGGCGAGGAGCTTAGCAATTGTCTTAAGACCGGGTCGGTGTCGTACAAATGATCCACCGAATCCACCTCCACGTGGCCCATGTTGTGTGCCTGGTCGCACTCTTCCACATTGCCGGCCATGTCGTCGCCCAGGCCGGAGTAGCACGCGTTGCCCGTGCCGCCCATGCCGCCCAGCTCCAGGCCCGTGCAGCCTGCGCCGCCGCCAACATGGAACCCGCACGTGATGTGAGCCACTGCAGCGCCCATCGCAAAGCTAAGCCAGCCGTCTATCTGTGCGTGTCAACCTGATCAAAAGCCACAAAGGCTCAGAACGCCCATCTGCAAGACAAGATCCTGGGTTTGGGGTTGGGCCGGGGTTGGGAGTGGAGCGCGTCACTGGTTCTGCGACGAACGCGGGTGAATAATCAATGAATCAATGGTCCAATTCTAACGGTGAGCAATGGTAAGTAAGCACATGTTCACATATGCTGAGATTAGAAGCGCCATTGCCTTGCCATCACTTCAACATCACCCCACGGCCCCCACGAGTCAAACAGTCAAAGGTCCAATGGCTGGCTCAATGGCAGTCAGGGAGGTCAGGTGAAGAAGGGACAAACCATTTGATTGAGTGTCAAGTGGCTGTAACCGACAAGCAAATTAACAACTCATAATGAACTCAAAGAACTCGCCCACAAGACTCACTTGTTTGTCGCTTGTTGTGTTTTACTGGTCAAGGAGTCAACGAATCAATGACTTTAAAGTCCAAAGTCCACAGTGGGTTCAAAAGTGAGGCAGGAGAGTGTGCGCTTATACGCCGTAAATGTAAATGAATCATGAGCGATTAAGTCGTTGGCCAATTCATGGATCCGAGTCCCTTTCAAGATGTATAGTTGCTATACTATTTGTTCCTTCAATGTTCATGCATTCATTTGTTCATTCGTTCATTCATTCACTCATTCATGCATTCATTCATTCATTCATTCATTCATGCATTCATCCATTCGTGTTATTATATTCATTTGTTCAATCATTCATTCACTCATTCACTCATTCACTCATTCACTCATTCACTCATTCACTCATTCATTCATTCATTCATTCATTCATTCATTCATTCATTCATTCATTCATTCATTCATTCATTCATTCATTCATTCATTCATTCATTCATTCATTCATTCATTCATTCATTCATTCATTCATTCATTCATTCATTCATTCATTCATTCATTCATTCATTCATTCATTCATTCATTCATTCATTCATTCATTCATTCATTCATTCATTCATTCATTCATTCATTCATTCATTCATTCATTCATTCATTCATTCATTCATTCATTCATTCATTCATTCATTCATTCATTCATTCATTCATTCATTCATTCATTCATTCATTCATTCATTCATTCATTCATTCATTCATTCATTCATTCATTCACTCATTCACTCATTCACTCATTCACTCATTCACTCATTCA